CAAACCTCCTCTTTCTGTCAGCGCCCGACGAAAATGCATGTGTACAATGCGCTTGTGCATTGGGAAATTGTGAGCGATGTGCATCCTAATCATATTTGCAGACTGAAATTGATGTTTTCGCGTGGTCCCCTATGTTGAGTTTGGCCTTCAATTACTTCTAGTGAAGGATATCCACGATGAAACAAAAGATAATTTAGTGACTTCTCCCTTGGTAGTCATACTCAGTGTTACATAGCGGCAGTAAGTCCTATGTTGAAGTAAATATAGTTAAAGGTTCTCTTGCCAAATAAACAAAAATTACACGTGTCTACTTAGTTCCTGATATTAAAATGATTGAAAAACGTGGCGTGTTGTATGACGTAAAAATGCACGCCTAATGAATACACCAGTGCTGCGTTCACGATCTCCACTGCCTGGATAAAGCCTTTTAGTTGTCCAACATGACAGACTTGCCCTAAATTAGACTGACATTTTTCTGTTAGCTTACTTTATATTTCTACATTAAATTCGTATAACGACTCTTGGCAGTTGCGTGCTCCGCTTCAGTAAATAAGTCGCTAAAGCATGCCCCATTGCTGTTGGTTTCCTTTGCAACAATGTGTAGCAGGGAACTATGGAATCCGGATTCCTTAGAAGCTGGTTGCTGATGGGCATATAAAGATTCAACGTATTGCTATATTTTTCAATTAATTTAGGCACTGTCAGATTTTGCTATGCAAGATAGATGTACAATGGAAAAGGACTAACCATTTCCTTAAATCTGTCTGCATCGTGCACTTTTATTTCACATAGAAGAATTACTTAGGAGCGGCCAAGGGCTCATTCAACATCTACCGACCAAAGACAAACTGCATTCAAACATGAAACTGCGATATGCATCAAGACTATTAAATACAGTATTTTTTTAAATTTAAAAACAAATTATCAAATCTATTTCAAGGAAATTTACATAAACATTTTGCAATGCTGTAAAATTAATTGTGAACTCATATCTTGGGTGCAAACCACTATTTTTAAAGCATTTAAGGCCAAGTAAATGGCACGTAAATCCCATGAAAGGGAGCAACAAATCAACACTCCACACTAAAACAATTCTGCAGTTTAACAATCTGAGGCCAGGGAATCGCAAAGAGATTCGATAATTTCCTATGATCTTACGAATAAAGAAATATGGCAAACATGTTGCCAAATGACTACCAAAATCTCAGATTGATTTGGTTGGTACCAAGTCGTATAAAAAACCAGGAAGCATTAATGCTGATAGACTAATTCATTGTTCGGGAAGAAGTTTGTTTATTTCGCTACGAAAATAGTGGTAGAAACCAAAAGTACGACCATATCTCAAATTTATTTCAAAATATTTGGTTAAAATTGTGTCTGTTCAGCTTACAATTAAATTCCGATTTCAATAGTTAAGAGCTGCAACGAGTATTACGTGAGTTGTCGGATTACCTCTGGACCTCAATGTGTGTTCTGACCACTCTCATTTTGTCTGTTTATCTATAAGTTTAAAGATAAATCGTTGTTGGTGCAGGGTTGGATGTACAATTGCACTGGCTGTATAAAAGGTTCAATTAAAAACACCTTAATGAAAGATAGAAACCGTCAAACAAATTGTAGAATAAAGCATTTCAGGATGACGTTATTGTATAATGACGTTTGCTATCATAAAACTAGCACACTGGAGTTTTCGACCAAACTTTTACTCCAAACCTTCATTCCCATCTGATAGGGTTTTTATTGCCTGCGTTTGCTACTTTTTCTCTGCGCGGCAACTAAGGTTGATAACAGTTGTCTTAGATTCTGTTCTAGAGATAAAGTTGGAAGTCAAAAAAATTCACTTATTTTAGTAATAAGAATTTTTTTAAAATTAATGCAGCATGAACCGTTCACCACAATGAACGGACATTAATTTTCCAGTAACATAATTTTATACGTTGTGGTGACTGTTATTTACTTTTCAAACAGGACATTGACATTTTGTTTACATATTAATGGATGTGTGAAATTCCGTGTTTTACGAGTTTTGATTGAATAACAAGGCCTCTACTGCCACTGGCTTTGCATACCCTTGCGTTCTGGCTATCAGGACTTGCGGAGTATAGGAACTGAAAGACCAGATGAATTTGACGAGGATCTCATGATGACCGAAGTCGAAGCGACCCCAATTCAAGCGCTTTTTTATTCATTGGTGACCAAGTTCGTAACCTAATTTGGGAATTAAACTCAATCAAAAAATGCCTGCTGTGTAATTTGCTCAAGTATTCAACAGGAGGCGAACAAAGAATGATGATTATCATCGTTACCCGCAGTAAAACCTAAGTTTCAAGATAAAGACTGCTGCTGTCATTGTGATAGAACTTCAGTGTTTGATACCTTGTCGGATTTTACAATCACGACCACTGAATGTTACTGTAAGCAGCCCGAAATTGCAACTATCGCGAAATGTCTACAAGTGATTAATCGAAATTTGTGATTTCAGGAAGGTAATACAAGAAATCATTACCAATGAAATTCCGAAAAATTGAGGATAATGAGTAGGCGAAGCACTGCCTTCCCCACAGTTTTCAAAAAGCCTTGCTCTGTCGGGCTGTCACCTTTTTTTGTTGAATTTGGATTTTTTTCCGTGGGGAAAATTTCCTGGGAGATTGGGCGAATATTTCAACTAGAACCAACAGTAGTATAATAAAAGGAAGCTGATGGTTTCCTAGTGATGGTTCCGCCAGTAGCAACTGCACAAAGTGGCCAGAAGTTCGGGCCAGTAAATATGATTAACTTCCAAAGATCTAGTAGATGAGTTAATCGTCAGACCTCGACTTAGTTTGTAGTCTGCAAAATTATCAGCTGATTTGATATAAAGAAAAGTGTAAAGCATGACAAAATTTAATAGCGATTAGTGCAATCTTGTGTCATGTCCGATTGAAAATGACGCAGAAGTTTCGTGCACTAATTCCGTCCAGGCCGTTCGCAAGCACCCACATCACACGACCGCATATTTTTGTGCGATTTTCAGCCTCAATAAACTTAACAACCCATAATTGTCACTTCGGCTATCATTCAACAAGACCTTATGCCATTCCCGCTTGTGTGGTTTGTCTAGAAGTTGCCTTACTCCGATGTAAACTTTAATTCATAGAAAATTTAATTAGACGGGCAACAGAACTCCGCTATAATAAAAGTAAGTTAGAATTTTTAACAGCAGCATAAATTAACTGGCAGAAGGAAGGGAAATTGTAGAGCGACTGAATGAATAAACCCTGCTACTGGATAAAATCGAGGCAAAGTGTTTCAGCCAATCGACGACATTACATGGGACATATAAATGTAGTACTCTTCTCCGTTGCCGCTAATCGCGTTTTAGGAATATTCATTGGGCCAATTAATGGAAGGGACATTAAATAATATCGGCGTTTCTTCCGAAACAGTTGCTGGTTTAATTAAATTAACCAATTTAGCGAATAAATCATGCACAAAACGGATTAGACAGCTTAAAAAGAATGTCATCACTAGTCATAGTGCCTCTGTGAACACAAACCAAATTTCCCTTTTAAGGGCAAAATATTGAGTTGCGAGAGCATTTCAACAGGCTTTTAAGGATGTTGTGACACCAAAGGACAAAATTCTTTCTGTGTTTGCTCACCAATGCATACCTTTAAACTCTTGGAAAAAGTAGTATATACTTATTTGAAAAACCAGGCAAATTACAGGGCTTGAAGCTAATGCTAATACTGAAGTAGTTTTCGTCTCTGCGGGCTGCATTTCAAACCTTATAATTAGGCCACTCTTACACATACAAAATAGTTCCAGCTCATTCAACCGAGAATCAGTAGCCTACTCGAAATCATACGAGGCTTCGCACCAGCAAGACGCCAGACTCAAGTCCGCAAAACTTACCTCTCACATCGGAAAACAGTACAAACAGAACTCGGGACAAGTGATATCGTTAAATTTACAATTAAGAATTGCGATGTGACTCCACTGAAGAATTTTGGACGAATTTTCAGACGACCATTATTGATTCTCTCAGGTCTTCGGTCAGCAACTCGGACGCTACGATGAAGGATTGTTGAATTACAATGTAACACAAACTTATTGCATGGCCAGCACAGAGATGCCTAACTAGTGAAAACAGGACGCGCCGGCGTTTGTTGACACAAATAGTCTAACTACTGATAGCAGCCTCTTTAATGGCTTACACAAACTGCAGTTTTTACCCATTTTCGTCAAACCTAAGACGTCCTAGCGAAAAACGCGGCAAATGTGCAGGATATTCAATGTTCACACCATCGCCACCTCCATGGCTTAAAGTGCAATACTTTTGCGGTACGGTCAAGTGCAAGATCCCGCTCATTAATCATTCTTAATAGGAACATCGGGAAAGGCAAATATCAAGTGGAGCAGTCATCGAACCCCACCATTCTAATATTAATCCAAACACGTAGTCATCGAATTCGGACGGGGATTAAAAGTAATCTCAGATGACTCCACTTGTACAGAAGCAGTACAGTGCCTAGACAACTTTTGCAACCGAGTTGAAATTGCACACCATTAGAGGTATACAAGCACACCGTCCCGCAGCTCGCTCACATTACGTCTTGAGACGGCGCCATTTTACTCAAAACAACATAGCAGCAAATTCATGTGTCTAATTAACTGAAAACTAGTAAAAAAACAACCCCACTGAAGAAGTTTAAAGTCGTTTTACGGCGAACATTCCGTCCTAGAAAGAGCGGATGCCTTGTGAAATAAGTATTGGTTAACATTATGACCGCGTCGACACCTTGAACAGGACATCTCGCAAATCAGTGGCAGCGGTAACTCAGTGGTGCGTGCCTTTGCGAGTCTAAAGATCCCTCAAATGTAACCTATTAAATCAGAAATTGAGACGACGAATGGACGGAACTTTGTAACGACAGTTTATTACTACAATTTCTGAAAATGTTAATGTGTCAAGTGAAATGTCGAACTAACACCAAAATATAATAAAGTGAAATGAGTTCTCAACGTTTCCCTGAGTACTTGAGAGTATCATGAGCCGGGTGGCGTTTGATATATTCAATGAAACTTCCAGCCCTTTCCTTGCGCTGGCAGATCTTGTGCACGACCGTGAAGATGGGGAATTGGTCCTCCAGTCCGCGGTCTTGAAGCATTGAGGAGACCTCCGAGGCGGTGAGAACGCCCTGAGCCGACTGACCCCCAAGCAATTCGGCCTCCAGATCTTCCACAGACTTCTCCGTGGTGGCCAGCGCGAAACCAATCTTCCTGTTACGTCCTCCGTAGCATGTTGTGATCAGGTCCGCAACGCCGCAGCTCTCCAAAAAAGTGGATTCCTGGGGCCCTGGAAGGGAATTAATAGTTGAACAGCACCGCCTTGCGGGAGAGGCAGGACGCCGAATTGCGCAATAAAAGTGGCTTTATGAAGGGTGGTGCTAAAAAGTTGCCGTCAGTTACTGTAATGAACACGGCGGCCACACAACACCCAAGACCGTGCCATTAATAACGGCCTAGGAATGAAGCAGGGCTTTATCACTCTACTAGAACACAGATGGGTAGCGAAGAAGTTCCCAGCAACGCTTACTGTGAAACACGCTAGCAACACCTGTCTTGAAGTGAAAACCATCCAGAGAGCAAACTGACCCCAAATCGTGCGGCAATTGAATTATGCGCGGGGGAAATAAGGCCTAAAGGCTAACCCTGGAAGTACATTAAAAATGATTCACCTTGGTTTACAACACGTTCGCGCAAAAAGAAGGCAAAGATCACGTTCGGAATTATGTTTTTTTCTCAAAATGCTCTGCGTGAAGATAAACGCGTTTCGAAGACGAAACTAATTTTTAATACGAGTCTAATTCCAGAGGGCTACCAAGAAAACTAGGCCATCGGAGATACAACACAACTGGATTAGATAAAGCTGGACTAAATACGAGGGGTCAATAGCATACAACACGTAGGCAAGAGAGCAACAAGAGTGAATAATGGAATGAGGGCGGGGTTGGACTGCCCAAAATGAAGCTAAATTACAACACACACACACACGCACCAGTGCTTTGAGGGAGCCAACAGTAAAACTTTTCACCAGCCCATCACCACAATGACGTCAGCGCAGTAAGCGACTGGAAAGGGTACGAACGCAATTGCATGCGTGGAAAACAAAACGCGTAGTCTCGGAAGCTATCATATTTTACGGAATTTAAAGGATTCAGTTAGAATTTCAAACCGAATTTCGGCAGCAGGTAGATAACTTGCTAGCATAGATACAACCAAATGCAAATCAGTTGAACAAATTTAAAAATGGGTAAAAACGTGTAAGTTTTCAAGTTTCCAAAGCCCTGGCTTTTAAGAGACCATTGCGTTTCTTTATAATTTATCGTGAGTTGGGGTGCAGGCTGGAGATGCAGATGACGATAAGAGGCAATAATTGAAGCCAAAGAGGTGAAAAATTTTTAAAACCAAAATTGATGCCAATTAATGAGTCTGGCAAAAATGATGACAGTGATACTCCCGATGGTATATTAGATGACTAGGGATCTTCTGGAGGGTAGGGCACTTTTTTTCAGTTGGAATGGCAGTCCTAGCTACAAACGGCAGCAAATGTGCGGACGTATTAGAGCTAATGGGTGAGTCAATAATCACGCCTAAGCCATCGCCACGGCTAAAACTGCAGTCCAGTTGCGGTACGGTGAAGTGCAAGATTCCGTTCATTAATCATTCACAATGCCCGAACAAGTGTCAGTGGATTTAGAGTATAAAAAGAAGACTCGTCAAATTAGACGCGTTCCCCGCACTGTCCCAAGTCAACAGACTGCTTTGTGTTCAACGGATGGGAACAATAAGTCCTTTTGGCACGAGATCGCAAGCATTTTTTTTTCAAAACAGGAACATTTTGTTCGGAACGTGGTGATAGGTTTGTCAAATCTGCCTAAACATTTACGCTGAGTTAGCCGGAATGATGAAAAATTCATTAATACATGACAGAAAGAGAAAAAACTGTAAGACATCACCGAAAAGTCACTTTCCATATCATATTGGCAGGTGCTTGGCAAGAAAAAACGGCAGCCGAAAAAGCTCTGCCTGCGCTAAGTTTGCTGCGTGGCAGCTTGAAAGTGACCTATAAATGAGCAAATACCTTAAGACAGTAAATCACCTATGGGAATGACCTTCACAAGCCTGGAAGTCAGTCGTGAAAGTACTGCGTAGGTAATGCAACAGGTTCGTGCACGCAAAGACGAAAAGCTGGGTAAAGCTAGTGACGTCGTCGGCTCAGATTGCGAGTGCATCTCGACACGCAAGTCAGCGGGTGCTCGCGATCCCACGAACACCTCAGAACACAAGCTGCGAGGTCTACAAAAGCGAAGCCCACTGCGCCAGGCAAGCACCACGCTCAACCAGGGGAATAATGGAGAGCAACAAAGCCATGGCCAAGGTGCCTCCACCAACCGCCCCTTATCAGCATGGGAATATCTCTAGACAAAAACACCTGCTAGGAGCCAGAGAAAGCAGACAAAAAAGTGCTAAACCCACCTAGATTAACGGAGATAATAGGAAAGAGAGAAAGGGAATAGAAGAGGAGCTCACGTAGGTGGTAAAAAGCCCGAGTGAATAAACAACTCAGACACATTATGGTGAGGTGGGAAGAAAACGCATTAGGTTCGCTCAGCTGCCTGAATAGTCAGTATAGCTAAAACATTTAGAATATTTTGAAGCCCCAAGGCTTAAGTACTTGGTGTAAGTGGGAGTCTTCGAGACCAGCACAAAACCATAAGATTTCCACCAGTTCGATTAAGCAATTGGCACTAGAAAACCACCTTATTTGACGAAATGTGGGCAATATCAGACTGCAGTAATTACGAGGTATCCAAAATCTAATAAGGACAACGCCAGTCGATGATGCGTGACTTTTTTTTGCTTTTTATTCTACACCAACAACTCACGCAAGTCTACAAAATTTACTAAACCCAAGTACTGACAAAGAATTCCAAAAAAACCAACTACCATATTACGCCTTAAAGAGGCTTCCTTTTTCTCTCGGAGGTGGCTAGGGGAGCGCAAAGGGTTAATATTTAATCAGCGTGAGACCCAGGTTCTGAGAGGGTAGGGTGACTGCGAAAGTCCACATTACTGGCCAGGTAGCCTCTTGTTGAATAAAATATAAGATTGCACACACGCAAACCCACATAAGCAAACGAGTACGTAGAAATACGCATTAAATCACACTTAAATGTTGTTTTAAAAATATGGCTAGATAAAGACCACAGCCGTAATTTATTGCCTGATAACCTCTGAACAGGGAACAGAACAACCCCACGTAGTGCAGAAGGGCCTTGATCGTAGGGCTGTTTGGGGCGGTACCGCAAAATAAGCCAGTTACTTCGGCTGCAGCATTAACTGCAAACAACGGCACTCTAGCCACAGATTCGCGCTACCACGTTGAGAAGGGGCATCAAGCTCAAATGCTGCAGTCCAGTCTGGGATTTGTGGCTAATTTAGCAGGTTATGGTGGAACCAATACATATTTATCTAGGTACATTGGAAAAAAGTTGCCGCTTGTACAATTTGTGCATTAGGATGCGAATGTCGTTTAAAAAAAGACCAACGGACGCCGCATCCAAAAGCTCCTCCCGTTAGCCTGTTACAAGGGAGAAACAAGTAGTTTCTGAATGGCAAATATTTGGTTTGGCAGGTCGCCCTATTTACAAATACAAAGCATCGAGACACAGAGTCACAATGCGAGCAGTTGACTTCGTGCAAAGTTAATTGAAACACAAATGGTTGAGGATTTCCCGTCACAATGAGAGCAGACGGACAAGATCTGTCTACATAAGCTGATGCAAACAATATATTTAGGTTAATTGATAAACAAGCCATTATTTTAGATAAGGAATATATTTGCTAACTCATTGTTAGCTTAGCGTTTGGAGTACCAAGTCGGTATTTTAGTGTTTCATTTCTGCAATTAGCGACGTGTCCAACGTCACAAAAGCCAAGTTACTACTGCCTTATTTAGTGCAACAAAAGCCATTAAGCCTAGGATACAAGGACAGACACTTCGGCGTGGATGTCGTGTAGATATTTCACGAAGCAGTAAATCTTAACTACCTAGGAGGAGGAAAAGGAGGAGAGTAAAAGAGCAAATCAACACTGACAAATTGCTTCAAATGCAAATGATAACTTTGTGCCACAATTTAGTACAATGCAACAATAAAAGAACATTTCCGCGATTGAGCAAGACGGGGTTTGTAACTACGCACACTGGTTCAAATTTGTAACTACGCACACTGGTTCAAATTAGCCCAATTATGTGCTGACAGTGGCTTGTGATGGCGCCGAGATGATAAAAATGAGATCACCTAGGCGTGGCACACGATATCACAATCGATAAGCTTTATCAGTGAGGGTCAAACGAAATAAGAACATCCAAATGCTGACGGTGACTGTTGGCTGTTCCACCTCACAGATCACGTCCCCGAACAAGCAAGCGCTGCAGCGTAGCGCATAGCTGGCAGCAAAGTGAGCAAGACCATGGCAGTGGAATTCGTTTAAATTTAAAAGGTACGAGAATATACACAAGAGTTCAACAGAACTCTAAATGGCTGTCCCATGGGTGCTATGGTTTACGTGCTAGTCCAAGGCATTACGACAAGCGAAAAAACGTCCTGTGACACAAAATAATTCAAAAGGCACGAACGTAATGTCCAATCGCATGCACTTTTCGCTTTCTGATTACAAAATCACTTAGTGCATAGGTCCTGACTGCTGGAATGTTTGGATAAGAGCAGAAATTCCCGCCCGTATAGGCGTGTGTTAATCATAAACATGATGTTGGGCTTGTGTGGGCCAACCGTCAATAGGAAAATGATTAATTTACGTTGGGTTAACTCCAAGCCACTAATAGTTAAATAATAGCCAATGCTCCAGGTCTTAATCTAAAGGTTTCTTAACACTGCCTAGTGTGGTAGCGTCGCTTAGTGGTGGTTACTGTTAATGACGAGAGACTACCCGGTTTGCCCTGAGTAGATGGAAAAGAATATCAAGAAAAGGCACGAGTTGTGTGGGTCCTAGCTACATCGGATTTTGTGTAATCAAAGCATACAAACTGCTAAGAGACTAAAAGTATTCCTTACAATGCCAGGTCCGCAACCACCACCTTCCCATTCACTAGATGACAAGATTACCTCGTGTTACGCCAAATATCCAAGGATCCGATTGCGTATTGCCGAGCGTTTAAAACACACGGATAACTTACCTACCGATGGTAATAGCGAACCAAAAATATCAGAACCGATCACTTTGAGCACAACGTTGTCGATTGGTAACGCGTTGAATATGTGAAAAACAATAACGCTTAAATAAATGCCCTTATTCGGTAATTTTATAAACATAAAAATGCACATAACTGCTTCCTTTGTGAGATGAAAATTACCAAGTTCAACAATTTAGTAACAATTAGGATTCCATTGAATGCTTTGGGGTTCCAGTCATTCAATACCTACGCAGAGCCAAAAACCTGACCCTCTTCGAAAATAAGAAGTTGAGTTTAGGAAAGAAGACGTCCTGAAGGGTGTTTGGAACTCACCTCGATCACCAAAGAACTCGAAAATAAACTTTTTCATCTCCATGAAACCCAATCGAATGACAGCCGCCTTCGTGTTCTCCCCGTAACCAAGACCCTCCGTCAAGCCAGCTCCGATGCTCACAATGTTCTTGAGAGCCCCACACAACTCAGCTCCAACTTCGTCACTGATTACGGAGATCCGAAAGTATGGTGTCTACAATTGACAAAAACAAAAACTATGCTCTACTCAATAAATATTAGTACATATGTTCTTTAATTATCGAAAAGAAATGCCAGACTTAATTACGTTCCGTTTTCGTCTCTTGAAAATAAACACGAGGATTTGGCAGAATAAGTGAATATCTCGTTTTTAAGTACCTTGGTGTTCCCAGCCTCTATGACGTGGCCCAAAGACCCTAAACTACCACATCATTGCATCTGTTGGGAAGGCGGTAAGTCGACCAAATTCAGGTCGATTTGAGGTCATGACTGTTCGGGTCAAAACATCCAGTCTTTATGGCTGCCACATCAGTACTTTGAACACATCTAGCCAGCAATGTTGTGAGATTGGTAGTAGTATGAATTACATGTGGAAAACCAAGTGAAAGTTACTGTTACGGAGTTTGGTTTTTGAGGAGCTACTTTAGGTGGGTTACAAGGTAATACGGATATGAGATCTTGACCACAGAAACCCTCACCAGCTAACAGCCCTTCAGTGAAAACACTGAATAGTTAAGCAAATGACAAACCAGCATGCCCGGTATTAATTACTCTACCGAAATATATTTCCTAGTATTATAAATTATGGCAAAAGAAGTACATTAGCATAATTTAAAAAGATTTACAAACCCGTGTAATGATACGTGTTATCCAGTAATCACCTATTACGATTCTCACCTTCTTTTAGGACCCACTGTAGCTTAGAGCGTTCTGTGCGCCGTGCTTTTGTATAGAAGGAATAAATATTTACGTTAAGAAAGTATCTAATAGCAAGTTTGTCCGCAGCACAACCACGGCGCCATGGAGACCGGTTACATAACAAAACGACAAAACAGCGGTGTAATACGTGCGTAGAGTTGACAGCTTTCCCTAATCAATTGCATCACATGGCATTGTTTCACGATTCCAAAAGGCAGGACCAATGGCACGGTTTGCCGAATTGGCACGTGTCCAGGTGCTAAAGCAGGCTCTCGATGATGCAATTTTAACTGTACGCTGACCTCTTAAAGACCCATGAACCAGTCCCCGTATCCAAATTGAACTAATCAGATTGTGAACGAGAACTCCGAAAGGTTAGCTGACCTGTGAGCTCTTTAAAATACCACCAGATTATAAGCTAATGCAAAACGGCTTCTAAGCCATTTCCAATGCTCCATAAATTCAGCCAGGTTCTGCACATAAACATGATCTTGAGCGATAATTTAACCCAACTACTCATAAAGTGAGATGGTAAGTTTGTGCTCTTTTTTTTCAAAAGGCCTAACTACCTTAAAAAGATTGGTACCCCTGTAAATCAAAGACAGATTACGAAAACCAATTCCAAGTAATAATGTGCAATACGTTGGGCTGGCCACTAGGATTTCTGCAAGATAAGTATTCACCAGACAAGATAAAAAGATTAAACAGTAATTGTTTTACTATAAAACTACTCCGGGGAATAACGAATTAGTATATTGAGAAGCGAACTAAACCGGGAAGACGTTTGGAAATCAATAAGGCAAGTAAAACTGGCATACCTGGAAGAGTTCCTTCAACTCCATACCACGTGCCCTGTCTAAAGAGCCGACAGTTGCCTCACAGAACATCTCCTTCGCCACTTCTGATGCCAAATTAGCTCCCATCAAAACTGCGCAAGGAATTTCGAGGTTTTCGCGAATCATGTCCGTCAAGAGACTCACCCCAACTCCTGGCGACTCAACCAACCCCTGTGAGAAAAATCACGTGGTTAGAGGGCTTGGAAAAGTGGTTTGGCACGAAAGTAAGATTGATGTGAACATCCACTTAGATTCTGCTATTGTTTTGTGCAACATTTCATTCAAAGCGCCAGAGAGTTCCATTGGGTCACTGCGGTTTCCACAAACAGGCCAATGTGCATTTCTCGGGCACCATTTTGTTCAGTTTCAATAGATATCCTGTTCGAGGTGTTACTAACGTGATTTATCACTTACGACGTGGTTAGGATCTGGAACAAGTTTATGCTTTACACATGCTTGTCTACCAGTGATGGAACCATTATCTGTCTAAGAAAAACCATGCAACTGCACTTGAATAAATCGAGAACCCGTAGGAAGGAACCCTTTCAACAATTTCTTGGGGTACGCTAAAAATGAGCATGCACCATAAGTCTGAAGGAGTGATGATATCTAACTACTTTGCAATGTATTTTTGGACAAAAAACAACCACATCCACGAATTAACCTACGATGCAATAAGAAACTTTTCACTAATGTATAATCGAGCCTGCTTGATTCGTGGTAATGTACCATTTATACAATCACAGTAGCTGCAAAATATTTATGAAAAGTATGCGCATACTTGTTTGCTTCAGCTACGCACCAACAGAAAAGGCATGTGCTATCTGAACCACTTATGGCCGCTTAAAGGAACAAACTATACTTAAGCCACACGTTAATTAGGCGATGTAAATTATGGACGTAATTACTGAAGTACCGTTTTAAAGTACAAATTTGTGTACGTATGCGCACACCCCACCGACAAATGTACAAAATTGCACCTTTCCGTTCAGGACATTAATGGTTGGTCTTTAACAGGCTAATACAGAAAAATAGGAAAGGTAGCTACAAATGTTTTTCAAGACGCACACCTTAACCGACAAACGTTATTGCACATTCATACAAATGAGGGCAAAGATTTACTGCAGTAGGTAATCGGTCTAAATTCCTAAAGCCACAATGTCGTCGGAATACGTTGACTTAAGCTTAAAGAGGATAGAGGCATTCAGGTAACTCACTTTTCCAGCATGATTGCTACTTTGAGTGTAATGAAATAAAGTTTGTCACAATCCGCTACAATGCCAAAGAGCAAATCTAAAACTTGAGATATTAACTTACACATCTGGAATTCTACCTAACATCCAAACAAGGTAAATGGCATGTTAAAATGTGCTTTTTGCATCAGAGCAACTCACAAACCTACGCAATGGTGCATTAAACGAACCATTAGTACTTGGGATTTAATAACTACGAACTCGGCAATTAAAAGCACTGAAATCGCAGCAGCCACTGGACAAAAATAATTATGATGGGTTTTACTTATAATTAAGTATGCCAGCAAGCACACTGAACATTCGTCAAAAAGAACATAATTTCAAAATGATAACTGAAAGTAGTTAGTACAATAAAGTAAGCTACCACACACAAAGCTATGAAGAAAATGTTAACATTGCGGAAGGAGACAATGTTACTAATAGAATGAGGTCAACAAGATAATATCACCCAAAACGAGGCCGCAAACAGAACCATCCACTTTCCAAAACACTATTCAAATAATTCAAAGAGGAGATAGGTGCACACACCATCTAAGAAGATTGTCAAACCCTTAAGTAAAGGCAAGCCCATGGTTCCTATATCTTCCCCCGCAAAGAAACGAACAGATGAAATTGGGATCGTCAAAAAAGTATTTCAGTGTGTTTCTTGTATTAGGATTCAAAGTCTACGACACGGGACAAGAATACCTAAACTGTTGACTCGATACCTACAAAACAAACCAACGCGTCTATTGCAGTTGTAAATAAAAGGATTTGTGGTAAATTCATCCAAAAAGGTGTGCAAAATTAGTAAACGGTGTTCGGCGAAGATGAATGTGCTTCAACTGAAACAAGATGCGATTAGGCTCAAAATATCGCATACATATGTTAAACACTCAATAACTAAAATCAAAAACATCCTGCAGTGATTAACGTACTTTGATTAGCGAACATCCATAGCAACCAGGTTTTAAATGTGGTTTCATTGATTGGCAAACCTTTGAGAGGAACTGGTGCGGTAGTACAAAAAGAAGAACGTCCACATCTTGGGTACAGGTTACTACGTCCGGCATAGCAACGACATTAGGCGGAAGCGTAATCCCGGGTAAGTATTTGACATTTTCATGTTGACTATTGATTATTTCTGTAAGCTTCCGATCGTTAACTATTTCTTCGAAAACCCACATCCGCACCTTATTAAAAAAAAATAAGTAGTATGCGATGCCTGGTACCTCATCTTCAAAGTTCTCAAACTGCAAAACGTTTTGGCCTACAATTTTCGCAATTGTTGAACCCCAGTTTCCAGAACCAATGATAGAAACACGACGCCTGCCCACCATTCTGGCAAGCGACCCAAGACACAGACACAGCCGAATATTTCGAACGGCGTAGTAGACCAACTATATAAACAAATCAAATTTGAGAGTAGATGTTGAAACTAATTAGGCATATTTAAAACAGGTTAAGGTATTTGGTCACTTTAAACACCCTACAATATCGTACATTAAAAATATATTTGTTACCTTGCAGGTAACTTTCCAAAGCGCAATGCTGAGATGGTTTGAATAGGTAAAAATTCTGATTAACTATTTGCGTAAATGCAATTTCAACCAAATGTTCTTTAGTCCGAATTACGTGCTGCAAATTTTTATATAATTTCGGTGTCTCCACCACGTGGAACCCTAGACGCACTACTGCAAACGAGCGAAAGACGACATCGCCCTAAAGCCCCTGTAATTATTCGGCGCCCAAATCAAATTTCATTTGTCCTTACTAAAATTGTATGTTATTTTCCTGAAAGTACATATTTTTATCAATTGGAGAATTAGGAATTAAAAGCGAAAATTTTAATTTTTCGGCATTACTATTAGGTCTGAAGTTAGCATGAAATTCATAGTTCAACTAATAACCTGAATAACTAGAACAATAAGTACGACCAGAGTTTTTTAAGAGCATAAAAGTGATAATGATATTTATCTAAACGAAGGCAAGATATTAATCATTTACATTTTATTTATACGCGACAAATATTTTAATTATGATTAATTGTTCCATAAAATTCCAAAGCCATCCATGATTAAATGTTGCCTTTCCTCTTCTTATTATATGGAATGTTCTTATTTCTACCAATCATTAAACAAACTTTATATTTAACACGGTAATAGTGGTAGTAATAGTAGTAGCAGTCGCGTTATTTCATACCCTTGTAAGGTCTATGTCAAAATATTTTTCTCACAGTTTGACAAGAGCCTTCGTTAGATTTTAAACATTGTTTTGTTATTTTGCCCATACTTTGCTAAATAAGCCTTGACTCAGCTTAGCGATGTAATAAAACCATTCATAATTATAGACCTACTCTGTGTCTAACAAATTAAACAGATTTCTTAATTGGGGTTTCTTACCTAATAAACAACTGGGCTCAAAATCAAATTGACTACTCTTTACCGTTAACGTGAAGTTTCTCTGAAACTCACCTTGCAGACTTCTGGATTCTTAAAGATCTTTCAGTAAGCCAATTGTGATTGGCTATCGTCGCTTTTTATGTTATCGAAATTAACACTTTCCCACTCTTGATGTCTACTTGGCAAATCATTCTTACCATAAATGTACCTTCTTTGATTGAAAAGCAGTCGTTTTTTTTGTTTTTGACATTTCTAAGGTTTGATTTTCTATCAGAAATTAAAACACATGACTGCGAATACCTAATGATCAAGTCAGCCAAATTCACATCATTGAGATGTATTCCATTTCCTGCAGCTACTAACAGTCGCCTTCCGAGCAATCAATTGTCAAGAAACTGCTTCTGCACTTTACACAAATATATGCATTTATTGATTGATTATTTTTGACACACCTCTTTTTTCTCATTACACCATTTTGTGATGCTCGAACCAGTCTTCCCAAATTTCACATTCATTTAATGAGGAGTGGTTATAACTCATAGTGAGAACTCGAGTGTTTGCAGCTACCTTAATGGTTGCATATTCGATTCATTATTTTTCAAGACAGATCATAATTGGGCTGAAGAGCTTTCCTATACTTCTCTTGATTTGAACTTGCACGCATTCAAAGCGTGAACACGAAATAAATTGTGTTGACAATTTTGGTCTGTTGGGGCATTGTGTTACCTAAACCAAATGCGAACATCTGAATCGTAGTCCGTTCTTTGTTGACTTGACATTTCAAAATTTGATTTCACAGCCTTCTAGGCGTTTAAATACAAAAAGCAATGCATTATTGTTTAAGTCGATGCGTTATGGGCTCTTAGAGTTTGCTTCCGTTATAAAAAATATCATTTTGTTGTCTTCAACTACATGCGCCCAAATCGGCTCAAATGTTCCTTATTTTATTTTCCCCCTTTGCATCACTGTTTTTAATTAAAACCGAAAATGAATGGAAAACGACAAACCTGACGTCATCTGGCTTAAATGTACCTTTTAAGGCAGGTCTACAAATCCATAATAGTTGCTGAGCCTGGAAAAATCAAACTTGCTTGAATTCGTATTCCTAAATCATTTGGGGGACTTGGAGTGTTGCAGTCCCGGGATGTGGCCTTGCACCACACCAGAATCACCACAGTATTTTGATCTTATTAAGTTAGCGAGATTCACTTGGCGGCTAAGACCCGAGATGGCGGAAACAAGCACATCTTGCTTTTTGGTGTTTCACTGTGCTCAACATTTCGTGTCGAATAAATGGGGTTGTTGATCCACACAGGCGTTGGAAAATAGAGGAGGCAAAAATGACGGAATTGGTATACAAGCGACAGGGTTGAGTGGTCAAACGCCTCCGCATGAGTGCGGCAGTGCAATGAAAGTGGGACCGGTGCGACCAGGTTGATGGACACAAATCACCACAATTCACTTCAGCAGCTTCAATTATGATTTTGACACATATGACGGTAGACTATGGACGTTCAGGTTGCTCTTGATATAAAACTAGTCCTTTACTAATACTATGGCTCACTGCAACTCCACATTCAAAGTCCAAAAGGTGTGAACCGAGACACTTGTTCGAAAAGCCTTGCCAGCAAGGCTTCTCGGTTATGGATGCTAATAGTGATAAGAGGATCCTCAGGTTTGTTGTGAATCGTGTTTAGTCAACCTCTTAACCCGATTGCTCCGCCTCCAACAGAGGGTTCGCCTTCTTGTAGCATGGCACAAGCCACGCGACTCCTCAACCCCCCCCCTTCATTCACACGAATATTTGGATTATCCTCACGCCTAGGTCTCGATGTTAGCGCGTCTATGACTCACGCATCCGAGGTATAAAAATACACACGCGCAAACCCGACACAATGGCACCAGTTTCGGTTGAGCTCTGAAGTGAACGGTCGTGTCTCGTCCTCTCCAGTCTTTTCCTTCATCGCGGGCATCAGGCAAGCTTAATCGGGCCAGGGTTAATTCCGTGGCTCCGGCGTGGTTCAAGACCACATGCTGGGGCCCACAACAGATTAAACTCAATACCTGATCTTCACTTCATCCAACTGTGGGCTATACTCCACCACCTTGGTCCCAGCGGTTAGAACGCCAGTTGAGCCCACTGAAAATTTTCCTTTTTGGCGTTCAATGAAAAGACAAGCGCACTTGATGCTTTAAGATTCCCAGATAGAAACCCTAATTGGTAGGTCATGTGGTGATTCTGATGTATTCGCTTTAGATAAGAACAACTCACAAGCACCCGGGTGATTCATATGAATCGGGCTGCCTATGTGATCGCAGTTCCCTTGATCTAAAATGGCCAATACGACAAGCCCGATGTAGGTGTCAACAATATGTAAAAGTTGTACGAATGCCGATACTTTTTTACCTACAAACTGTGGGTCCTCCAACTGTTTGGGCTAGAATGATAACAATAATTCCAGTTTATAAGATAAAGCAAGCAACGTGAAATTCTATGACATCAACACCATTCGCAAATGGGCTAACTAGGTTTGTGCGACACATCATGGCACTGTTAATGACTCGTTCTAACATTTTCAAGGGTCAAAACTTAAGGAGAATATCACTAGGTAACGCACCGGAATAAGCAAAATTGCGATGGGAGACAGCAAACGCCCACAGAGAACTTAGCTAAGTTAAATCAACTTAAAAAACGGGCATAGATATAACCTAAGTATCGTTCACTCCACAGTTGTTTTCTTACAAACCCAGTCAGTTTTTTTAACAGACACGTGAGACAAATATTACATTCCTAGTGAGTATACTGAACTGTAAAAAAATGACTTAAATATAGCTGCAATTAGCACTTCCATCTAGACACAAGATCATGAAATACCGTCGTTGATGGTTTATAAATAAATAATGAAATAATATGAGCTTGTCATCGGTTTGTACAAATGGAACGCATTCTTTCCCATCACTGTTTTATCGCTTCACTTTTCCACTCTCGAAGTCGCCCAAAATGTTAATGTACAGGTGCTTTCTTTGTGGGCGGTGTGTTCGCCTTAAGTTCTCTTGATCGCGATGAGTTTCGTCTAGCTCGGTGACTTGTTCACAGGATGTTTGGGTTTGCGCGGAGACAAAGGTTCGTCTAGACGTGTTGCTGGACTTATTGGAGGCCTGGGGTGGCTGGTTTGCCTCAACAAAGGCCTGTTGGTTGCCACTGGGGTAGGTGCAGGACCGCTGCATGCCACAGTTCCCGGTGTACAAACCGGTGCCCATGATTGGGCAATTTGAAGGTCGTCCGCTTCCACTGCTACTGCTGCCCAGAGGAGACGGAAGGGTCATCGAGGCGCAGGAACTGTCGGAATAAAATGTCTGGTTGTTTGCTGGAGGCTGCGAAGAATGAGAAGGGGTTAGATGCGTGGCGTGAAGGAGGCTCCATGAGGACTCATTTGTAGTTGCTGTCAAGCGTGAATTCGTGGTGATCTGTGTGCTGCAGTCGTCAGCTTGAGGCATCCTGGCTCCGCTAACACACAACGGCCCAGGCTCGCTGGAAGTCTAGACACAATTAAACATTTTGCTTGTTTTAAATACACAGATGATTGTGTTGCGGGACCCGGTAAATTAAAAATTAAAATATGTGCCATTAAAACAATTTCCGAATGGGTGCCATGAAATGTGCTGAATGTGCTGTCGAGCTCTTAAATCCATGAATTTTACTTTAAAAACCCAATATACATGCCCGCAAAAATGTTCAAAGGGCCTTTTTTATTTTGGACCTAAATTTGTTAAGATGCAGTCGCAAATTATAAAAAAAGTGATTCGTTTAGTTGCCAAGTTGCTCCGAGTTCAACTGACTTAAATTACCCGACACCCCGAGCCTAAATCGAACCACTGTGAGAATATTTGCTAGAATACAAGGTGACCATAATAAGAGCGCTCCTTGAACCTTATAACAAGCAAATGTTTTCTGATTCTGCAACCAATCCTCGCTTGCGTGTGGTGAGAAAAAACACTACTACCACACAGTAGAACTGATATCCGCAAACACATTTGTGTGACGGTTTCCGGACATGTAAAGGGTCCGTATCCGAGACACATGGATGGGCTTTTGTTCCCGGCAGAACTCCCCACGGCGATCAGAAAGACAATCGCGGAGTAACGGATTTCGCCTAGCTCTGCCTTGGTGCCCATTGTTCCGAAAACGGTGGTTTTCTCATGCGGCATCACATGTTTCCGCGAAAAACGAAGTACGTCTTACGGATCCAATTACTAGCGTTTTAGGCAACGCAGAATGTACACGACTCAATGACCTATTAGGCACTTTGTACAAACAAATTTTACCAAGTACCAACACAATTTAGGCTAATGATGTGACGATAAACTGCGGTCACAGACTACAAGGCGATAGTGGGCATCGCTCTGTAGTAACAAAATATGGCCTGGTGCACAGTACAACGGTGACCGTATTTCCACTGGAACTTCCATACTTCTCTGGGTCCTAGACATTTACTTCTAATTAGAAAAAACAACTTGAAGAGAATTAATTCAAGTCATTTCTATCATTTTCAGATTCCACGTATGCCCGAAAGCGTTCAAATTTTAATTCAGAAGGGCAGGATATGGTGCTTTTATCCCCGCCTCTCCCCACCTGTTTGACAATGTACGGTGGGTTTGAACAACCGCGGTCTGGGAGTTCAAACAATTAACTCAAAACTGATTTGAATTTACTCGAAAGCCAGATACCGTGGTACTTGGCGTTGGATCTGCAATGCCTTACCGTGAAACCCTTCTAATGCAGGTCTCAGGCCATAACGTATGGCGTTGGCAGGTGTCTCGAATCCACATAACATGATGCCCTATTCCGCTGGGACCAATTCCAATGCACCTAAATCGCGCAAGATACTCTTTCTAGCCAATGAAAGTGACACGACAGGCTACTGCGGACTTAAGTCAGAACCAGTAAAATGGTTGCCAAAGGACAATTGGGACTCTGTGTTGATGGAATTATTTGATTTAACCAACACCAAATTGCAGGCTTACGTTAAATGTGCTCGAAAGTGTCTGATTGGAACCAAGCACTTTGAGATGATAGGCGTTCCTTTGTTCGATCAGTTGTGTGGACTTTGCCTTCGCAGCGATTGTGGTGGGCTCCGGCTTCGGAGTGCCATTCTCCACCGGCACGCCTTCGAGTTCACGCGCCCGAGGCGTGAATTCCCTCCTTGACTGTGATTTAGCCAATGAGAGAGCAGACACACCAGAAGCCAGTTCATTCGTTGTCTGGTCGAGGCCCTGACAAGCAGGCTGTTGAGGGCAGGGCGGTGCCATGTGTTTTGCGTGCCAGGTTTTGGTGTCTAGGTCGTTGAGATGAGTCAGGGATGCGAGGATCGAGCCCAATGCCTTGAGCGGCTGATTCAGCTTCTTGAAATGAGATGATGAGTGCAATGTTAGCGCCTTAAAATCAAAATGTGGAGGAGAAGGTGCATCCTCGTTTTGACTGAACACAAATCTGCCAGAAATGTCGTGAATGGATGAACTTCGTGCCGAATGGAGTGGAGGCAACAGCACACGGCAAGATACAATGAGCACAGAGAAGCACCGAGAAGCGGCCGTTGTTGTGGGCTTTATTTGGCCATCGAAATGACGCTTCTTAAATTACGTTAACTGTTTTCGATAATATGACATCTTATCCAATAAATACATAGCAGTCGAAGAAATGAATCTTACGTAATTTTCCAATAATACTAACGTTTTCCACCGTCCCTGTTATTCTATAATAATGGTTCCCGGCCTAAATGATTGAATGAAAAGTCGTTGAAAAGCGCACGCTGATTTTCAATGGGATTCCCTATTTAGCCAAAATCTGGTGAGAATAATAAAACAGCATACAACGACCCTGACACCAGGTTGGAATCTCATTGACTAAATTACTTTTCAGTAGTAAATGGCTTGCGATAAGCAACTATTTGCAGGAACCTATAAATAGATTGCAAAGTAGGAAATATGCTAAGAGGTTCAATTTTATTTTAACTCAATTGACAATTTCGTGCTAAAACCCAAAGCGTCAGATTAATGAAACATACTTCAATGGGGACCATCTTGAAGACGGCATCCAGTTGTGCATGGCAGTGGGCCAAGGACACAGCTAACTGGAGTTGCTCTAGCTCAAGAGCACGCCGAGTGGCGGTCAGTTGAGGTGGAATTCCGCATATGGCTTGACGACAGACGGCCGCGTCAGACTGGAGGTCCTGGAGTTCCATCAGCCACTGATGACGAATAACCTGGACGTTCGAACTGGAGGCTGACGTTTCGGGAAAATTAGTCTGGGACTTTTGACGATGGCATTCACATTCCAAGGTGATAGCCGACTGAAGAAAAGACGACAATATCTCCTTTTGTTATGATACACTGGAACATGACGGAGCTAATTTTCAATCCGAATATTAATTTTGCAACGAATAGATCGTGCCTCATGGAAATTTCTTGGGTAGAACGAGGATTCGCGTCGCTGTGATATTGCCATAGCTTAGCCTTCAAGCACTCAAAGTGATGAACAGTGGTACTAACTTGATATGAGGCCGTAGCAGTACGAGTTGCGCCAATAACATCCCAAAATGATGCCGTAATCGTGTTCTGACACCAGCGATACAAAACCATTCACTGACAGGACGTGCCAGAGTAAACGTGTACTTGCCCACTGGTGGTACACAGCTCTCGTAAGTCTCTTTCGCGGTCGGTTGTAGAAACCGCGTGAGAATGCGTCTGCTTCTGATTACACTCCAAGAAATGCGCGTGTGTGCAGCGTAAATGCTACCTTTTTACTTGAGGGGGGGTTAAATACTTACACAGAGGCTGCAAAAATCTGGCAATGTTGAGAGAGGACTATCACTTAAGCTGACTGTGTTCTCAGCGTGTGCTGGGGACGGTCGCTTCAACACGGTGAGCACATCGACCAGTTGCGCGGTGTGAACCAGCGGCTCGTTGCTGCTCTCCACGCTGCCACCCAGTTGGGAAATGGGCTCTGAAAGGCGCCACAGAAGGGATCGCATTGTCGGTATTTCCTCAGCGACAAAGCGATTAAGGAAGTCCATGTGAAGTTCTTTCACGTCTCCAAAAAGGGTGAAATTTGCCAAATTCAGAATTGCCTTTGCAACCTGCAAAAAAAGACGCACATCCATCAAATATTTCAAAAAATCTTGCTTCGGATATAATGTGAGACTGGTCAGCAATTCACAGGCTTTTAATTCAGCGCCATTACGTTTATTAGTAAAATGTTAATAAGGCGAAAATCACATTCAAAAGACGTACATGTGACGCATAATTTGAGTTATTAATGCAATGTCAGCATCCAGATTAGGATTAAATAGAAAAACTGAAACAGGCTTCCTTTTAATCCGCTAAAAAAGGCTGATTTTCGTCCAAATTCACTTCACACCGCGCCACCTCAGTGTCGGTGCCGCTAATAAACGCAGAATCCAAGAATCTCAAGAACTTTTAGAAATGATGAGTATTTTTCTGTAAACGGTAACCATCGATTTCACCTACAAGTGTCGTCGACTTTATGCGTTGTAAATTTTCGGCGAATAAATTACGAAGATGACACAAATTGCTGGAATATACTTGCTCGTTAGAACCAATATATAAATCTCCATCATTGAATAAGTGCATTTACCGCAAAGATAGAATCATCTTAAGTCAAAGGTGTCGAAGAAGGTTAGTGATTAGTTATGATATTCAGACCTAATGTATAACACAGTAACCATTTCCACCAGCCATCTCGCGGCTGGTGGTATCAGTAAAATGTTGAAAACTCCATGAAATTATGTATGATAGCAGCAGTTCAATCAATTGGTTTCCGGAAAAAGTTAGTGCAACCAGCTGGATGTAGCGTGATAACGTGAACAGAACGAGTAAAGAAAGGCGATTAATAATGCGTTTAGGTCCAACTGCCTATCTTCTGCACAGTTCTGCTGAACTTGTGCAGAGAAACAGCTTGGAATCGGCACGGAATGACTCACTAGAGTGAAGGTCCGCACAGCACGAGGGTCCTCGGTGAGGCCGTCGGCCAGTCCGAAGAGCGAGGGCGACAGAATGGCCGGACAGATGAAGCGCAGGAAGACGCACGCCGAGACGACGTGCTCGAAAAGGCCCCTGACGTCGGTTTCGTCACCCGAGGTGTGCTTCCACGATGCGTTCGCTGGCAGCATTGCCTCACGTATAGCCGCGAAAGTTCTTCGCAAATCACTGCAATTAGACGGAAGGAATGCCCTCAGTCAAGATCAGCAGTCTGACACGACAAATGTGAATTGAAAGCCTTACTTTGGAAATTCTGAGACAGTGTTCTGGATTCGTTGCCAGACATCTCTCACAAGTCGCATCAAATTTGCTTGATTTCGAAGCAGCTGTCCCGAATTTGTCACCTTTTCAGGGTCAACTTCGAAGTCAGAACTGGACTTCGGACCGACAATGTCGTCGCTAGAGGGTCGTGACATCTGTCGCCTGCCAAGGGAATTCCGCTTCTCTTTCTGACACGTGGTGACAGCCGTTGCCGTTCGCGACAGAACTGACGCTACGAAACCGCCAAGAGCTACTTTCAGGTAGTTTCCACCGATCTGCTTGAGGTACAATTCAATCGCCTTGGTTGCAAGGCTGTTGCTTCGAAGAACCATGTTCGGATTGTCTATGCAAAGCAAAAAGTGTTAACTGGCATTCAACTCGTCCTCACATCAAAATAGACAAAACATTCAAAGACAATGTACACATAATTGTTAACGTAGAAGCCTTACCCTGAGTCGAAGTAACTTTATTGACCGTGGTTAGGGAAAAATAACGATATTTTTTTGTAAAAAAAATCTAGCTTTATGCTGGCCATCGAAGCTGTATTGTAAGAAATTTGTCCGAAATAGTTGTCAGGGTTCCGGTTATAGGTATTAGGAGTGAAAAGATCGTTACCAACCACAGTCAAGCTTCCACTAGATCTTAAAAAGACAACTCCTGCATATTTAATGTGACATAATACTTAGGGATTAGATTCCCTTGATTGCCAACAAGTTTAATCAGTAATCAGGTTTTAATGTGTGTGGGATGGAATGTGTGAGCTAAGATCAAATTTTTCCCCTTTCAAAGTCTGTCGACATTTCCAAGTACCACCTTGAATGCTGCCGAATTGAAAATAGCCGTCTCACTGAAAGTGTACAGCTCCTCAATAACAAAAAACAACTCAATTACAGGGTAGGCCAAAACCGAATATCACACACACACACACACACACACACACACCGTTGAACATAGGAATGGCTGTTCACACACTGAAGACAAGTGTGGAGGGACGGGTGGCGGATGTTTACCTTGTTCCTGCACCTCTGAGAGCACAAGAGCCGAGAGGAAGGCGGGCACCTGCCCGCGAAGTTGGAGCATCCCAAGGAGGGATTTGGCGAGGGCGGCCTTCGACCTGACCGACAGCCAGGGCTCCAGGCTCCTGAGGTAGGCGGTGCACGTGTCGGGGGTCGACAGGGAGGCCAGGAGACTCGCGTAGCCGCAGAGCGGGAGAACAGAGACACTGGAGTAGCAGGCGCTGAGGCGCAGACGCGGCGGACTGCGCTCCAGCTGTGCGAGGGTCTTGCGCGAGAGCTGGACCCCGGCGCGGCTCAGGCGTTTGGCGCTGCTGGCGTGCGCCGTGGGGTTGTGGCCCTCGAAGGAGACGGACGCGGGGGCGCAGTGGTCAACGAAGGAACGGCGTTTATCTGCGGCGTCCATCGCGCTCGAGTACCAGGCCTCCACGTCCACTATGCCAGTTATCTCAGCTGCAGGGACGACGAACTTACCTGCAATCCAGAATGTTTTAATTTTTAAAAAAACCTAGCATTTTTCTTTAATTTTAAAAACTAAATTACAGATGTTTGGCTGGTTACATTGCCACTGTGGATAGATTGTGGAGCACTAGCCAGTTCGTATTCTATAAAAAGGGCTTTGCTTCGAAGTGCTATTTGCCAAAACGTTTCTTTTTTTGTAGAATAAAATGATTACGGGATTTGTCACTCAGAACTTATCAAAAACCAGTCAAAAACAGTCATCAGACCACATTGCGTATCGGTTTAAACACCTTGCTGATACCGACTATTCGGGTAGAAGAGATTTTGTATTGTTGTTTGAACCCAAGAATTTACGAAACGCAACAAAAACCAACTGGTCGACGGGAAGAATGGTTGTGCAGGATGTTTTTGAACCAGGCGATTTTTATTGAAAACTCAGGACAAGGTAGCAAGACTCACCAATTAGGTAGAGATCGGCGGGAGTCTTCTTGCTCCAAATTCCTCCCAGCCGCCTTCTTTTTCTACTTCGCAAGTCCTCCTGCGCTGCGAAGTTCTCCGATGAGGAGTTTGAGAAAATGCTCCTGCAATTCTCACTTTCTATTGACATCATCGAGTCCGCGTGGTTCGGAATCGACAGCCTATAGGTTGATGATTGGTCGCCGCCATTGACAACGCCCGATCGGGGCAGGGACGCTCTCCGATTCGTTGACTTCTCAGCAATCGGGATTGGCTTCGACATCCAAAGGAAGATGCGGAGTTCGGAAAATTGTGAAAGGTGACTACAAGTAAACAATGCTACTTTAATGTTTTCAGTAGAAAAAGTGGGGATGATTGTTCGAAAAGCTGACCTGAAATCGAAATCTTCTGACCAAGATAATGTCTGCGTCATTGTCTTGAGCGGCGTCTGGGCGTACAGCGCATCGTCAAGGTAGATTTCGCAGAAGTACCTGATAAAGAGAGAAGGCTGAAAGCTAGAATTACCATCTTCATTAGAAATCACAATTCCGACTCAATTGGAAGATGCCAAAATTACCGCAACGGCATGTAACTTGACCTTTGCATACGACATCCCAGTCAACGCCTCCACTGACGAGGGTAAGGTAGAGGTGGAAGGTTAACTTACTCATTGCCAGATGGGACACCCTTGATCTCCTGAATGGACAAGTGCAGATGGTTCTCAAAGTGCTTCTCGGAGCACAGACGGGGATTGGCAAAACACTGAAATCTACAAGGCAAGAAGACGCGTCCAGGAAACAGGTCGATCCCAGGGCGTGTTAGCGGAATCGGCACGTTCTGTGGGTCTGTGCCGCACACAGTTGACCCCCCTAGACAGCCGAAAGCGGCAAATGTGAGATTTTATTACGGTCCCATTGCAAGGAGACGTCTTGTGAGCACAACTCGTGACACTTGGTAAACGTCTAACTCCTGCAGTTCCCTTTATCAGAAGTATGACTTGGTTTGACAGACTTTTTTGCTTTACGATTATAACTACATTAAAAATGAAAAAAATTTTCGCCGTCTTGTGTGGTTTTGAAAGGATTGGGTGAAAGTTTTCAGAACACAGAACGACAAGTCTACGTGAGTTACATAACCTCCAAGAACAGCAGAGATTATGATGGCAATTGATAAACAGCACACTCGATTGCACTACATTTTGTGCGAACTCTAACCGGCAAAAAATGTTTCAAAAGCACGGGAATCAATTTATAGTGTTATTGGTACCAACGTTGTGTCTTCTGAAACGTGTAATTATTGATACAAATGTTTTAGAAGGGGTGATTTCAATCTTAGTGACCAGCCAAGCCCCGAACATCAGCCTCGAGTTTGAAGATGCGGCATTGCAGGATCAACTGGATGCAGACTTGACGCAAACGCAACAAGAGCTTGCAGATCAGTCAGGAGTCCCCAAACACCTAATTCGAAGCGTTTGCGGCAAATGGCAAAAAATCAAAAACTTGGAAGTTGTGTCCCGCATGTGTTGACCGAACACGACCTAGGTCAATGCATTAACGCTTGCCTTTCACTACCTGCCCGCCGGCTACGAAAAAAGACTTCTTGTGGAAAGTGGTGAGAGCTGTACGTCGACGCCGAAAAAGAACATCCACTTGAAGAAACGGGTTCTTCTGTGTATCCAGTGAGACATGAAGACTGCACTTTATTACGAACTCGTGGAAAATGGTCGTCAGACGATGACTGCGGAACACTACTCCCGACAATTAAACAAACTGAGCTAAGAACTTGATCAGAACAGACCATGTGTTGGGCAAGGAAGCAGGCAAGTCATACTGCTGCTGCTGCTTCTGCATGAAAACGCTCGACCACCTCACATTGCTCGCGCAACTCTTGAACACGGAATGTGAAGTTCTCCCACATGCGACATATCCACCCGACTTGGCTCTATCCGACTGCCACTTATTCCGGTTAATGCAGCAGCACGCCTTAGTGGACAAGCAGTTCAAAACGCTGGAGACGATGGGCGTAAATTCGTCGATGACTTTATTGCCTCGAAGCCTGCAACTTTCTTTGACGACGGCAATCGTACATTGCCTGAGAGGTGGCACAAGGTCACAAAAAACTGTGGGCAATATTACCAAGATGAAGTTTATTTTGCTCTGCCTTTTAAATCAAATAGATGTGCTGAAAAACCTGTAAAAATTAAGTCATATACCCTGTAAATAAACGAAGTAAAGGTAGACAGAGGAGAATGCTGAAAAATCCGAAAAAGTAATTCATACACCTAATAAATATGCGAAAATATTTGGCTATGCACTTGCACACAGGATGACACGGCTTAACTGAGACCGTGCAGAGGTGTTTGCAGAGGGACGTTTAAGCGGAGGCCACACAAGCGACGCCCTCGTGTGAGCGTGTGTGAGAGGAGCTTTATTATGCAAAGCTGCCGACACCCTTGAATGAATTAACATATACACACGACCAGGATCGCACACAGAAGAGCACGCATGCACAGACCGCCTGAACCCTGCTGTCAAACTTTTCCGCAGGTTGGAAATGAGGCCAGGCGTAATTACACAGCTACGGAATTCGGGGAAAAGCGATTTTGGAACCAAAAGCGGTCTAAACCGAGCTCCAGCTGGTATCCCGGAGCGAGGCTTTGCCTTTGACTCGTTGTTCCTACTTGCGGAACTGCCCAAACGGGTAGACACAGAGAAAGTGAATGACTCACGCGTTGGTTGGAGGGCAAGTGGGCAGGACGACGCCCGAACGTGAGTAGCGAAAATGTCGTTGTTGTGGGTTGACGAAACAACGCCCAATGTGGCGTAATCAAATGCCCAAGTTACGCAACAAGAGGCGCACTACTTAAAGAACTGTCTCCTCAATTGGCTAGATTTACGAATTCCCCATTCTCAAAGCAGATGTAAAATTGCCACTCTGGGTGAATTTTATCACTGGGCTAACAGGTGTGCTTTAACAGCAATGTCATGTTCTTCTTGTTCTAAAAATTGCGGTTCCCACTTGAGACTCAAAATCTACCCCTCTGATGTTATCATGGCATCAGTATTATTAAGCTCAACGACTGGTGGCGGGTAAGCGGAGTGCGTTGAATATGAGGCAAGGTAAAAGTAAACACCTTACAACCAAATGGTCGCGGCATTTGAAAGACGCCATTGAACACCCTTCCACTGTATTTATGGAACATTACTATCCAAAGTCCTGTGAGTGCAATCGATGTACAACCAATTAATTGGTCAAAAAGGCCATTAGCATATTGAAATTACTACCAAAAGCGGGGGAGTGTAGATTGGGTGCCGGTGATGAAAACTACCGAAACCTCGAAGCTGTGCTAATTGTCATTCTTGCCAGCCGGGCTTAATTCGCAAGAATCTTGAATCAGATTAGAAGTAATACCTTGAAACGACTTGCAGATAATTGAAGCACTTTACAATGGCACTTCACCCTAAAATAACAACTCACTTGTGTAGCCAGTAGTTTCTTTCAGCTGGTGAACTACAAGAGTAGATGCGATGGACTGAATGAGGTTCCTGGACATCACCGGTTGCTTGCTTGGTGAGACGATTGCGACCCGGAGCCGGACGTCTAAGACAGACTGTAGAAGCGACGCCATCATCGTCATCGTCGTCGTCCATTGAGGTGATGGACTGCGAGCGCTCCTGTGTCCACCGACGGGTGAGCGAGGTTATTCGATCGCGATGAGGATCACGCAGACCATTGGTGGGCCGCGATTGACTTTTCGGCATGGGTAAAAAGGTTGAGATCTACGACAGTAAAGGTTACAGTAAGTTACCATTATGTATACCTAAAGTTGCTTCTGGCCCAAACTTTTACTGACTTTTAGATTTTGGTCATGAATTCGGTGTGGTGATTGATCCATACAATGAAATGACCCCAATTATTACGGGTTATTAAACTCTAACATGTGGGATAAAACTGATCACTAAACTCTTAGAGATGAGATGACTCAGTGGCTAGACACGCTACGATAGGAAATGGTGAGTGAGTGAGGCAAGCAATTAACCCCGGAGAAAAAAATCAACCCGTACAAAACCACGCATCCCTTTTTCAAGCATAATATCCGGTAGCATTATTGAAAAAAACGTCTTTGGGGATGCGACTCGATTTAAAAATGACTAACGAACTTCCGATTTGGCACGACGGTTTCACTGAATCAGCCATTACGTCAAATCTGATTATAATCTTGTAAAATTACACAACTTTCATGTGTCAGCCCGAAGTGAGGTCAGTCGAAGGGTGCAGAGGAACGATCGCACACAAAGGCGTTTTTGTGTAGGCGCTAGACAAGTGGCTTTTAAAACTGAGCAAATTGGGTACCAATCTTCATTTTCAACCTGTGTACCGTGGTTAACTTCGACGATTTTCAACCCAAGTGAGGTTATAAGTAAATTAAAGTATTGATCATCACAGGAAAAAAGATCACAAAATTTTGAAGAAAAAGGTTTATATTCAAAGTTATTCCGAGATTTTTTGTTTGTTTAAAGTAGGCAAACACGGGTCATGATTACAGATGTCTGAGGAGCTACTTGCTATAGGAAATTCACCACCATGATTGTGAGACCAACAAGGAATTACATGATAGTCATCCAAAGCACGAGGTGGCCCACAATTTAAGCCACGATCTACAGCCACCTCGTTAGGCGCCTCTGAAGCCGAAGCGAGCATGACTACATTGCCACAAATCACGATGGCTGACAGGAAAATGCAAAATACCCGCTGCATGCTTGCTCTCAGTTCTCGGCACCTGATGCGTCCGAAGAATACGAACCTTGCGCGTAATTTATAGAACCCTGGTTTGAACAGACAATTGTAGTCGTTGTTTTGTAGGGAAAAGGAGACAATTGGTTGGGGATTTGTGGCTGTTTACGAATCTGACGCCCTAAGGTGCAAGCTTCAATTTTATGATATCCGTAATAGTCAGGGGTTCCTACATCTTCTGGTGAATCACAAAGGTTACAACACCGCTCCTACCTGGAAGCAATTTTTCCCTCCTCCTCCTCCTCCCCCCTGTACAACGCTATCATGAAGGGGCGAAACTGCAAACTTCAGATCAGCCTTATGTCGTTCCAGGGATTCCACCAAGGCCTGAAGCACGACCGGCCTCTTCGAGTCGTCCCCGGGTTGAGGAAGACTTTCCAACGCGACACTAAATTCAAGTAAAAGATGAAAATGCGTCAGGTTGTTGAACTGGATTCGCCCAGTATGCAAACAGCGGACAAACATGCTACTCAAGTGCTGAAAGAAGTCACCAACGAAGAAGCAACAAATTCAGACAAGTCTTCTTGCGGTGTGGCGTATTCACCCGGTTTTATGACTGTCTTTATGTCGTGTGTGTATGTGTGTGTGCAAGTAGGCGGGAATAAGGTGAGGAGGGCAATAAAATGCTCCCGGCTGCACTGCAGAGGCCTGGCCATGCGGTGGCCAAGATACGTCGGCTTAAGTGACTCGTCGGTAATTGACATTTTAGCCCTTTAGGGGCGGCATGCACTCTATTAAAACCAAAAACCCCGGTTTTCGAATTTTTGTCAAATACATTTTCCTTTGAATAAAGCTAAAAGAAAAATAAGATTCGTGAACGTTACAACGCGCCGAAAATCCCCATTACTCAATTTCTACCCAGTGAGCCTCCACAATGATAAAGTCAAGATATTGACTCTAATTAGAAAAACGCCGTGAAGGATACCCATCGTGTTCTCAGAAGACATAGCGAAGCAACCAATCTCTTCCCACATCAACTCTGACAAGCAACCATAGCAAAGCATGAATTATGCATGAAGAGGACGTCCGATAAGACAGCTTACAATGAGTAGATCTATTTTTGGGCCGACACCTTTACTGGCATGAGGATCTAACTCACCAAGGGAGTTGAAAAAAAAACTCAATATAAGGTCAATGCATGACAGCAGTCTCGAAGTTTAAATTGCCCATTGCTCATACTTGGGAAAACAGTAGGGACGGTAGGGGTTAGGCTTGATGAGACAGTCTGTACACACCATGGCTTTGGTTTTCACTCTGTGTGACTTTCGCCTTTAAGCATATTTCGAGTCTAAAGTGTTTACCTCAAAGTCATTAATACGCAATATACATGAGCTCATTTATACGGCGGTTATGCGCAGTTATAAGCAAGGATACCTACCTTTCGCGTGTGACCTTGTCATTCGCCTTTTCGCGTGAGCTGTTACTTTGTTTTGAAAACAGGCCCTAAAATGGATGAAAAGGCTTCAAAAACTTTATAATTAATGCTTAACAAGTGAGGGACTTCTACGTTCAGCCAATTTTCGTAGTGTCGTATTTGACGGCCTAAGACCACATTTCACCACAATAACTTGTACGACTTGGACGCAGCCAAGGCAACGATTCCAAGCATTTTTTTCATTTTACCATACATTTCACACGTTCGCAGAAGTTGGACTTAACTTTACTAGCTTCTACTAAATACGAATGATCCGCTTCACATTGGTTGTAATTAAACTGTACTCGAGGGAATATCTCCAATATGTGGCAGTAGAATGTTTGCAAGTTGACAGATACATGTCAGTTTTAGTTGGTCACTAATGCATGAATGAGGAGCAGCAGACATATAAACTAGCGATTCGTCCTAACGAATTCTACAAATTTATGGTAAACGTGTGGAACAAATATATTTATTGATGTAAATACAACAGAAAATTCATTTCCGACGGGCATAAAAAAACACCGCGGAAAAAAACGCGCGTTTCAAGTTAGAGCATTAAAAAAAATCTTGAACAATACATGGGAACATGGAACAAGGCCCTAGTTACTACAGTGGACCAGGATTATCCGAAAGGTAGTGACCGATAGAAAGAAAATCGAGTTAGATGACAAGGATAGGGAAATGCCCTCCATGTGAGGCCTCTTCAAAGTGCCCACAAAACCCGTCAAGATAGAAAATTCACCAATTGTCAAACTTCAAATGCAACCCATATTTGCTTTTCTACTGAACATCAGTGCACCTCCTAAACGTGGATAAGCAGCCACAAGTAATGTTGTTTATAGCTTCCTATCCATAAATACAATTTTCGACGTTCTATGCCCAATGGGAATTTTGACGCCTGGCCAAACCTGGGGCACACTGCAATGTGAAAACCTTTAACTTAATTGCATCCGGATTCTACGCACAACAGGAGCTACGGCTAAGCTTTACTTTCAAAAGTTAACCCACGAATAATCGTCTTCGGCTGGCAGCTTTTCCTTGTCCTTTAGTTGACATATCGATATCAAGAGTGGTTGCGCGACGCTTCAGAAGCTCCGTGTCATTCGAGGGACAGTCGTCCGCGTCGTAGGCAGCCGAATGAGCGCGCGTCAGCTTGTCGCCCTTCGGTAAGCTGGTGGTGGCCGCGTTGCGCCAGGTTCCTTTCACGGCGTCGGGTGACAGGTATACTGAGGGCTGAGAGGTAGCAATCACCAGGCCCTGTTGTCTACTCCTGTCAAGCTTCTCGTCTGTGCACACAAAAATGGAAATTTTAACAGCCAGTGACACATAAGCTGGGCTCCGATTGGACCGCGCTGACGTGTAGACAAAAAAATTCAAGGACAACCCAGAACGTCAGTCATGAACGCTAAATGTATTCGTAAACCTGGCAACATTAACGCGTGACCATGTGCGCAAGCATTAGCCAGCTTAGACCAAAGCCAACTCCCACCCTCCACCAACGCATGGAACTGTCCAACTATGTGAACGCGTTGGGTTGGGAGCTTGGAGAAATCGCGTGTGACATCACTCTCACCAGAAAGCGCGTTAGAGGTTTCGCGAAAAACAGTTAATGACCCACTTAATGTGGAGAGTTCAGATCGCATTAGGCATCAGACATGCCAAAATCAGAACTGCAGTTTCGTAATGAAAAGTCACGTTGAAATGCTGTGGAGCATGCAAGCGAATTTCACCTTGAACAGGATCGCATTACGTTTATTTTGGTTGCTGATGAGCACCCTACTAATCCTACAGTGGAATCGAATTATGGAGAAACGGGCTTTAATGGATTGATGGCCAGCAGGGCGGATTCTGCCTTCTCAACGCATGCGCAAATGTCCTCCGTGGGACGATGAACCCGTAAGCGTGGTTGCTTCAATCAACATCCCGACGAAACATCGACTCAAACACCAAAGCAAATAAAGAAACAGAAGTAGTTTGAACGGACACGTTCAGCCATGGCAACTTTTCTATGCATATCTACATTGAAAGTGTCCGTCCTACGAGCTGTGGAGTTCTCTGTCCATCATTAACAGTTGCATAGTTGAACCATGCATTTGATAGGTGCATGAGCGAAAATTGCGAAATGACTGCTTTGAATGCCAATGATGCAAGATTCCTTGGCACTTTTAATAGCGTTACGCTATTTGACGTAGCTGGTAATTTGAACACCATTTGCTGCTTGTTTAATCGATAACCGTTAGAAACAAATTAGTTTTGACCGGCGGTGAGCGAAGTTCAGCTCTACAGGGTTCAATTGAAGAATCACATAGCAACCTCTTTTTAGACGTATAACAAAGTAATGCGCTACTGAGCGTGTGTATTGATTGTTTATTGATTGAGAAACAAAAACCTATGAATCCATCACATTATTATTATTATAGGCATCAAAAAGCGGACAACAAAAAGGACCACTAGAATAAAACGCAATACCGCCGTGTCACACTAAAACTCGATGTGACACGGTAAAAAGAATTGGGATCGCGCTAAACCCGAACGTCGTTTTTACGATTTACGGACCCCATAAGGAATGCCCATCAAAACCTACATGTTTCCATGTGAATCTTATAAGCATATTAGCATTTGCTCATGCCAGACGATAACTGATTCGTTGCAGAATGCTAAGCGTGAAATTTGCGAACAGATGTTTTGTGTAAACGAAAAAGCCGGAAGGTGGCACGAGATAAGCGGTAGTTTATTGCCTTGCGGAAGCGACGTTTGAACGTGGAGGGAGTAACCGATGAAACGGCGAGATACCGCCAAATTAAAACATTTTCTGCGTTAAACACCACTGTCTTATAACCCATTGAGAACTCTGCATTAGGTATGTTGAAAAAAAAACTTCCCACAAAAGTAAGTCGTTAACAGACGTATGGAATGGACTTCGTTTCTACAAGTGGGGATTTTTCAAAATTGCCAGCTTTCACGTTGACGCCTTGGTGGCGAGAAGGCAAAATTTCTTGACTGCGATGGTGCGGCCAGGGGGGAATCACAAGCACGGTGTAATGTAGACGCCTGAAAGCAAGACGCTAATGTCGGCGACCATGGCTGACGAACAGCGCCCCCACCCCTACCCCCACCGCACGTTCATGGGGACAGTTTTGAATCGCTTGTCAAACTACACAGCCAAGATGCAGGGCGCTAGGCTTTCCACCTATATCAGTACAAGATACGAATAAACTTGATGGAATATAATTGCATTCCTTGTCTACATATTAACCCTTTTTAATACCTAAAATGCATGCCAGATGCAAACCTCTTTTAATCATTTACCGACCCCTAACTCCCCGTAAAGGAATCGTTATAGGTGCGTTGAGAACCGCTTCCCTCTAGCCAAGTCAGCGAGTTGGTCGGGATGGAAGAACTGCGTCAGTTCGTGTGAAATCAAGAGACAACACGCTGAACGAACGGGGCCGCTTGACCAAACTTGTCTAAACGTGTTGGCGGGCCTGGATGCCATTACTCATAAATGGGCGAAGATTTGAAGTGACAGTGGGAGCACAACAAGATCGATATTCTGAATAACATCTCAAGTGCCAAGGGAGAAATAACACCGAGAGTTTGCGCGACTGGCTTAGCAGATCAATCTTGTGCTCATTAATATTCAATTTACTCGCCTGGGGCAACAGAATCTCATTGCAAGGTTAAGAGACGATGACAATTTTTAAAAAAATATCCCACTTCAAATAAATTTGTTTTGAAAAATTAATTGCAGCCTGAACCATTTGCTGATGGCAATCACCGAAAACACGAAATCAAACCAACTGTTGATTTTCTGGTTTCAAATCAAAGACATTTCTGCCCTAATCCGTGGGGAAAAATGTTTTGTAACAAGGATTCAGCGTGACGCACACCAACGCAGGGAAAGGTGCGACCTGGTTGGCAATGCTCTTTTTTGCGCTGTGAATGTATGAACAGAAGACGGTGGCGTTTATTTCTTTGTCGTATTAACGAAAAGTGTCTCCTCCCCAAAGGGATCAAAATACCGCATTGTTGAGCAAGGAAAAAGCCCCAACAAACCGTTGGTCCTAAGCCGAGAAGGTCAGTTGCCGTGCAATCACAAAAATAGGAGTGAAATTGGCGGCGGCGGCGGCGGCGGCTGCGCATGCGCACCAGACACTCAGGTAAACAAATCAGCTGCAAAACCACTTGCCGAAGTGGAATGGTGTCAACTCGCCACTGCTCGACAAATAAACACTCTTCTCAAAATTTGTTTCCAGTGGTGGGGGAGTACATGGTCGTGGGCCCGATGGTCAGCGCTGGACACCAGAATTTAACGCCGGAACAAGATTTCACCCCGTGCACTTGTGACTCTTGTTCTGTAGATGGTAAATTATCAACACTACCGGCCTATTCTGGATGCATGGTGGCTTTCGCTTGGGTTAAAGACTCTGTAAGACGAAGCCCCGTAGAATATATAATTTGACGTGCACGGTCGAGGAGCATGTTTTGGCCTAAGAACCATCTCGGTAGCAAAAAATGATGGCAGATCGTACAAGAGCTTCTCGTAGATTTATTTACCCTATGCAACCTGAGGTTCCTGGGGTATTAGAAAACAAAGTGGACTTCAAAGAAGCTGGACACAGCTCCAGTTTAACAGCCAATCAATAAGATTCTGCGTTTTTTGTTGACAGATAAGAAGAAAAAGACGGCGGTTTCATACCTAAAAAGTTTAAATCACCTGTTTTCCTGTTGAATGCCTAATACAACCCAAACTGCATCTTTTTTACACGAAAGGATGCACCATTGCACGCTAGGCATCGTCAGGGAATGACCAGATAAATATTTTGTGTGCAAAAGTTGAAATTTGAACAAAAACTAAGAGTTGGCGTACACCCTCCAGGACCGGGCATACATCCTTTAGTTTTGCGACCGATGAGCACGCTGTGCGGTTTCACAGCGGTGAACAGGGTACGCATACACGTACTCGTCACTTTGACAGGCGATAACAAAGGAACAAAAATCATGACAACAAACTTGGCATAGCCATGGCAACTGCCCACTGTGTGTGCTTGTGTGTGTGCGTACGAAGACATACATACATACATGCATACACAGCACAGATATCAAATGCCCATTCTAGTAAGGCGCACAAAACAGGCAACCTTATACGCTGTCTGGACACTAGGTTGGTTCTGAGGTTGCAGAAGGCTTCTAGCAATGAATGTGATAACGTAGTTGTATTGGACGAGTGAGGAATGGGAGATGGAAGCACTGCAAGCCTCATGGCAGCCGACACTGTACAGACCACACAGCTTGATTCAGTGGCATTGGACAATGCCTACATGGTGCAGAATACCTTGCCTACATTGTAGAACATAACCGATTTACAGGCCGATGCATCCACACGTTATGGGGTCTAGCACTATACAACATTTCCTAATCGGTATGGATAGAAGCCCGATGATTTCTCACTTGCAACTTAAACACGCTTCTGCACAGAAGGGCAGACCATACATGTATTTCCGCCAATAAGCCAGATTTTTGTCGCCGGAATAGTTTAACTCTACATATTCCATGATCATATTTGTAAGCGGTGAAAAATGAGTAGCAGAATGACTAGCTATCTTAAAATTTACAAGTTCAAAACGAGCGTCCAATATTCCAGTTTAGGAGACAGACAAGTCCACATACATTTATAAATCAATGGTACTAAAATTTCAAAAGCATACCCCAGTGGTGTTGTGACGGATTTGCACTCTTTCCTGATTTACCCGTTTTCCACGACTTCGCCTGTTTCGCTGTCGAGAGCAGAGGCATCTCACTTTCGACAACAAATCATTCCGCTGCTCCCTTCGCCGGAGGCAGAGCACGCCCCTCTTAACGTTGTTCGGCCACACAGAGCCAATTATGGAAAGGCCGGGAGCCCATTGGCTACTCGCGGGCCAATAGACGGCACGCAGGCGGATGTGACTCATAGAAGCCACACGCACGCACTTACAGTTACTGTGTCTGCACTTAACGTCAGTGCATTGGAGTTTAGCTGGCTGATGGGCCGGGGGTGGCGCTCTGGCCGGTCGCGTGTCTATTGGGTCTGTGGTACAAATGTTGCACACCATCTGTGTGTCGTGGGCGCCCAAAGGCCCCGTCTAGGCCATGGGTGGTTTCTCTCGGATTCGGCCACGTACTAAGTCAAAACTTCCGCTCTAATTCAGCGTTTATCCGTTTGACGGCTCACTATGGCATACGTGAAACCAGTAGTCGCAGACGAGGTCGTTTTGCGTTGCGTCGATCTTGCAAGCCTATTGTAAGGCTGGGTTTTCCACATAAAAAGAACAATAAACCAAAGGCCAATTGTAAGGTGTTTAATAGTTAAGGCATCACTGGATGACCAGTGATCCGCATTGTTTGTTCCCTGATTACTTATCCATGTCGCAAGAACTTTTCTACAAATTCATTGATGGAGAACTGCATTAACTCACGTGAGATGCCACGAGATCGTTTAATTAACCGAGAACAATGGCACAAAGTCCTCGTTAGCACGAGGTTTTAACACTAACGCACGCGTAAGCACTAGAAACTATTTAAGTCTGATGCCCGTGTGATTTATTTTTCCACGCATTATCACAGGGCTGCCCAGCAGCTCCAGTTCGCAACGTGGTGAAGATTGCTGTTATTAATGTTTTTATTTTCCATGTCTTGTATGTGGAAAATGCAAATTGTTTCTTGAAAGTGACCCGATATGACAGTTTCTTCTGTAAGAAATGCGTTTACTTAAACCGCTGCTAAATGCTCTTGTATTAAAAGGAATACTATTTTAAACAACATTTGCGTCGCTTTTATGCAACTCCTTGTTGACTCAATTTCCTATTGTCTGCAAACTGTAGGATAACCCTTTCGCGAGGCCCACAAACCTTGCAGACTGATTCATGATTGGTCGTGTGAATGAATTTAAACAACTCCTGCAAACATTTTGAACAACTAATAACCTGGCGGTTGGGTTGAAGCTTCGCAGGGAACCGTTTCTCGAGTCTATGGCTCACACAACGGCTTAGCCAATGAGGTCTCTTTGCTGCTTAACGAAACTTAATTTAAGAACCACGTGCCTCTAAAAATTCCTCTCACACTTCACACCTACCTTCGGCCATGAATTTGCCCTGGACATTTGGGTCCGCCGTATTAGCCATATGGCCGGCATTTTTTTACAAATGAAAAGGTTACGCGGGTGTCAAACAGGAGGCCACTTTGCAATCGACCAGTGCACAGACGAATAAAAGGACATTGTGAAATAATTGAATTAAAGTCCTCAAGGCCGAATGCGGGCGCCACAAGAAGGAATTTATCGATTAACTTGGTGTTGCGAGTTCATAGACCATGGCGAGAAATTTATTGCAGGCAGACACAGCCACGCGCACCCAAGAAGCCACCTCCCTCAGTGTTATAAACAAACAATGTGTGAATTATGTGTTGAGTGTGGGCTTGTTTTTTTTTTTCAAAGGGCGAGGAAATAAGGTAGCAAGGCTGTATTCAGCTCTCTGTCAGATTTTTTTGTGTGTGGCTAAATTTGTGCAAGCCGCATTGTGTACGCTGCCATTTTGATTGGAGGAGCTGGAACTGCCCAGTGATTTTTAACTAAATCCGGCGCGGAATTCAGACCATCTAATGAAACGTGGATTTTTTAGATTGCTAAAACAATTGGCTATTATTTTAAATCTCATTCTGCCTCTTTCTTCTCCCCACTCACGTCCATTCGATCGGAAATCGCGTCATCAACTTCGTGTATTCACCAGGCGTTTCAGCAAAAGTGAACGACGCGTCACAAGGCTGCATCAAGAAAAATAGACAAGGTGTTTGCGTGTGTGTGAATGTGCAGCGAAGGTCAATTCGTTTTCAAAGTGCACGGTTTGTATTGCCGATGGTATTTTGTCGTGACCTTGGTGTGCACTCTTAGGACTGGTGATAACGTGACCAAAACCCCACGGAAACGCATGCACCGCAGCGACATCCACAAGTGTTCTGCAAACTGTTTATCCGAACCCATAAAATCAACTGCCAGTGACAAGAACCGTAGAATATGAATTCCATAAAAATCTACAATTAGTTTAATTTTGATCTTTGTACCAGATTTCAATTATGTGCTAAAAATTTAGGGGAAATTGACCAATTAGTCGCGATCGTAGTGTTCATGCCACGTTACATGTGACCTCCTTTACCCAATTTCTCACTTTTTTTCAAAGGCTAAATAAAAATCATTTAAAGAATTCCTTTTATGGCTGAAAGCACGTAAAACGCTGTTTATTTGTTAACATGTATCGTTGATATTTGATGATGGTAAGAATAATAACCGAACCCGATTTTTAGTGGTAATTTCCTGGTAAAAATTAGCAGGCCTCTATGATAAAGTCAGCCACGAGATGAAACTTAAATAGTCGGAAACTTGTGGCATCTGCAGAACTAAATGCAATATTCTCACTACTGACATTTGTAAGTAGAAGGCTAGTTTAGGCCAAGGAATTGGTCACACTTAAAGACAAACAGGTCAGTCCGATTGACTGCCATAATTAATGTTATTTTTCTATTGTAAAGTAGGATGTGGCAAATTAACTCTATACTTTAGCAACTTATTCATTTGAAATGGCCACATCTGTTCATTTGAGGTCGATTTGGTGACTCGTGCTAACGAGGAAATAGTTGAAATGGGAATTTTTAGCAAAACCAAATATTTGACATTGGATGGATTGAAGTAGTTATGCAGAGAACTTAAAGAAATGGTTAACGATGTTTTATGCCACCCATAAAACGAATGTGATAAAGCGGAAAATGGAGTAATTCAACGTTCATTGGTTATGCAGGATTTTGTTTAAAGAAATTAAAATTCGTGTCTTTGTACAAAACTGCTTTCGCAACTACCAAGGTCACCTTGTTGAGGCTTCTACTCACGTTTCACCGTGCCACCAAAGTGATCTATTAACCTGATGCGAGGGTTACAAACACGGCGTAGCATAATATTGATTTCGCGCACTGACACTATCACATTTAGGTAATACGTCCACGAGACGGCCTGCGCTGTGTTCAATTGTAGACCGTCTTCCTATTAAGATTTGGGTGAGTAAGCCCAGTGTGTGCTAAACAAAGGCACATCCATGAAAGTGCCGATAGTGCTCTGGATTTGCCGCTACGACGTTGACAATAACTGGGACTGAACACTGGGCAGCAGTGAGTAGCCAGTGGGTACGACTTGGTGACAAATTTATTGCCTAATTCACACTGGGTGACTGGAAATGCATCAGTGGTAGTGGTGATTGATGCTCCCCCTATTGTGTCCTGAATCCGATCTAACGCGGAAGCGGTACTAAAGGGAAACCAAATTAACAGCGTGCATAAAAGCGGTGAGTAAAGAAAACGTGAATGAACACAATGCTTTCAACATGTTCAACCGACTCTAAGCCTCTAGTTTCAGAATTGAACGATTTGATGAGTGAGCACAAAGGTAGTAAGGGAGGAGCGAATGTATAAGTGCCAATGGAAGAAGATTCAGGAGTCATTTTTGCTTGTCAAGCTTCAGTCAAAGCGCCATTTTTTGTTCCGTTTCAAAGAGTCAAAGTGAACAATTCCTTTTCCTTTCCTTGTAAGCGTTGCTGATTTGCATTTTACTACGCATTTCACTCCTCAGACGACAGTTTCACCCAGAACTGGATAACGGCGCATGGAGGTATTCACCTCAAGTGGTTAAATCACTGAGAAGAGGGTTAGTGAGGTCTAGGCAAACTTCAAATTACGACATAACAGACATTAGCTGCCGCAGGGCTTTCACAAAAATATCAATGGCGACTGTGTGGACTAGATGCGGCAGAGCAGGTGGTTTTTATCATGGCACGAAGTGTGTCTTCTTCCCTCTGTATTCTCTGTATATTTATCCCAGGTCTACATTCAGGAACACAGAATTAAAAGTATCGCCTGTGTTCTCATGCGCGTAGTACGCTCAAACAATACTATCTTTTAAAATGGAAATGCATTTTCCGCCGAATCTAACACCCGACATAGGCCAATGATATTCACATGGTGGAATTCTAATTTATGTTAATTCTGTTAGGGAACACCAAAAAGCCCTTTTACATTCCCAGAGACGATGGGGCACAAACTCAATAAGCTTAAAGTGATTGTTCTCACGACCGTTCACCATAAAGGTCTTATTAGCGTCGGTTATTTTACATTAAATAATTGAAAAACTCTTACAGTTTTTTGATAAAGGGAATTCTATTGGTGTGCGAGGTGATGATTCTGGTGATAGAACCTTGTGTTTTATTATAAAGAAATACTTATACACGAAACAGCTCGATTTTGATCCCTGTCATGTGCAAGTGCACACATCCCACTGTTATTACAGACGTGATGACAATTCGAAGTACCCTGTTTTTGAATCTGGGCCAAGAGGAATTTGTTTTCAACCACGACCTAGACGCTAATTAGATTATAATTCCGTAAGGTAGAAATAAAAACACGCAAATATCCTTGAACCCAAATTCAGAAGCATCACCTTGCACAATAATAGAAACGTCAACCAAGTCTTGCCTTATTGCTCATGGGCACTTTAGAAAGATAGGACATTACTTGGGGAGTAGATTATCTCTCATCGCCAGAAACTTGTCATTCTAGCTTCCAATAGACGAATGCGGAATGATGCCACGTGCAGGTTTTGCAAATTTGGTTTCTCTACATCAACTTAGAACGCTTTTTGTGAGCCACAAAACGATATTTCCGGTCCAAACCTGATTGTTTGCATTTTACGCGATTGCAGAAATCGCTCTTGCTAAAGACAAACACAAAGTGTCATCAGTATTAAGTAACTCTAGATTTTTATCATCAGTTTGTCTAAAGATTGCAGTCTTTAGAAGACCTTATAGTAACTTAATTTGGCTGTCTCCTGAACCGAAAGCAATCTTTTAGCATCAAAACTCACTTTAAATATGCCATTCATTAATTTGGATGCGACACAAAAATGTTTAAAGATAAAAGATGAGAATAATAATGATAAAAACGACAACTCCAGACTGCAGGTTGAACATAAAATGAACATAGTCGATTTAAAGGTGATAATGGCGGGAGGAGATGGATTACGCCTGAACAAAAAATGCATTTATAACTTCGTATCGTGTTATTGATCAGCAGCACGGAAAAGACCAGATTTTCCGTTATGCAATGGTGGTGGTGAATTCCATCTTGCACCCCCATGTCCAAATGATTGCTACTACACGATAAAAAAGGGTGTCGTCAGGATTGCCTAATTTACTGGAACGCGCATTAACAACACCGGAAGACGGTAGAGGAGGAGGTGGACGCAGCCAAGCGTTCGCCTGCCTTTCCGCATGAGCGGTAGACGCCAACGCACCATGCCGTGCTCAACAGGCAACACCCACCGCAAAAACAACCAGAGCGGGTTTCGCATATTCTGAGCAGGCGGCCGGTGTGAAGGCCGAATAAAAGACAGCGAGTCACAGGTAGCGGTGGCACTACCCTGCACATCAAGATTAAAGCGTGTCTGACTCACACGACGCCGACGGCCGCCCACTCCACACTGCGTCTTCTGTGGGGGCAAGGGGGGCCTCGCCTCTGAGCCTGGCAGGCCACGCCAGCGGTTAAGCGGAAAGTCCAAACACCACTTAACAAAGCCTCAATGAGACACACACATGAGCAACCCTATTCAAGCAAAGTAGTAGTTTTAAGTACCAAACTGGAACAAAATTACACCATTCAGTTGGGGTGTCTGAAATTAGACTTGAGGGCCTAGTGTTCACAATACATTTAAAGCCACAGTTCTTACTAATTTCTTTATATTGAGATTATTCCGTAAATTGTAGTACTTTGTGAAATCACTGAGTTTAAAAAAAAACAGAAAAAGGTCCGCGTGTGAAAAGGTCAAAGTTATCTTAACAAAAGCGAGGGGTGCTTCTATAGTGGCAGAACTTTCATTTTATGCATTGCTGCATCAGAAGCACTTTAGTGTGTGCGAGTCGAGAAGCTCCAGTGGTAAAATGTCGGCCTAAAATCTGGTTACCTGAGTTTCGACTCAACTTGTGACAGTTGAGAACAGAAACATGTTGTGATAAGCGTGTTACATGGTATTCAATTATTGTCAAGAGCAGACCCTTTAAAAGTTACGTATAGAGTGACGTGAATGGTGCACTAAGGCAACGGGAATAGCTTGGTTTTTTCTAAAGTTCTCACACTTCACAACTGCGGAAGCCATTCATTTTATGCACTGATTTCCTTTCTCATGCAGCACCTTTGGGGTTAATTTGTTTTCTTCCGGGATCGAAATGTTTCCAAAATAATTCCAGGTTTTTGTTAAACAGGGCACCCCAGATCCCAAATCCCCAGCCTGCTGAGACTTATTCACGGTCGCTTGTGACATTTCCAGGCCACCGGCCAACTCCCACGTTGTCAGGCTCCTGTTTTGCTTTACTTGTAGTTCAGGTGGTCTCACGAAAACCTGATCGCCTTCCGAATTGGGGATCATAATTCAGGTCCTGACGGCCAGAACGATTTCCCAAGAGACAAATTTGACTGGCCTTCCTGTTATTTGGCTTCTACCTCGCACATTACCCAAATGCCTGATTAAATCTTTATCAAATTTTTCATTTGTAACTCCTAGTGCATTTTTCTTTCTTAAGTAAGCTATTTAAATTATTTACAAAAGAAACGCTTCTCAAGTCAAAATTATAAAAATTCGTATGGCGAACATACAACCCAACAAAAATTTACAATTTAGTATAATTACAATATCGTGGAAAAAGGGGAAGTTAATCGAGCACAATAGGACTCTACATCGAACAGCATTTTAAACACAATACATGCCTTCGGAACAAATACACTACCATATTTCAAGCCTCTCTGTCGTTTTATATTGTGGCTTACTCCCTTTTGTTCTACTAACCCCATTCAGCAAATTCTGCGTCTTGAAATGTTTTATTAAAACAATGAATTTCTTTCTAGAATTTCACAAGACTACACCATCGTGATAACGCTGTTTGTACTTGTGTCAGTGAAGAAAAGGATAATATGAAGAATTTTAATGTAAAATTGCTTTTTATATTAAAGTTCATAAAGCGAATATTAGACTTGATAATTTATCGATTTTTTCCTATGGAGTTGCAAAAACTAAGAAAGAACAGTCCTCTGGTATCAAAGGTATGCCAGATTTGATCCGTTGTTGTGAAATACTGAATGGTAAATAAATTTTCTGTACAAGTTGGGTAACATTTAAACTTAATTATGCGAAGGTAATTAGGAAATAAATTCGGTAATCGAAAATTCGAAAAAATAAATCACTAGGTTGTTTTCGGTAGACTCGCTGGACTTCAGTGGTTATGCTATGGAAAAAATGATTTTGAAGCACTTCCTCTCACAAACTCGATGGAGATTTCCTGGATCATAAAGTTAGTTCATTTTCTTCTCGTCAAGACAGGGCACACTTCTCTTGACTATGCAACGATTCCCAAGCAGAGAGTTGCACATTCATGAAAGATGTGCTCCCACAAACCTTTGTTTGAACACTGTTATTCCAAGCCTGCAAGCCACGCTGCAATTCGTTTGTGAAAGATACACTTTAGGGTTTAGGCTTTTGCGAAATTCGACTCATCACATGGATGCGGTGTTTAAAATAACCACACATTTAGCAGTAGAACTGACAATGAACCTAGAAGCGAATCGGGTTAATTCAAGAAACTGTCAATTTCAGAAAGCTTTGTGACCAGTCAGCTGGAATCAAAACATTGGTTTGTAAATCCAAATTTTGGATTAAAGTTACCCTTAATTTATTTTTACTTCAGACTCAGAATTATTGCAGCACATTTTCAAAAATCTGAATTTATCCAGTCACCACTTCGATGAACTGTTTAAGAGATGTGACGAAACTAATGAGCACATGGGTATCTCAAGGCCTCAGAAAGCGAGTCGCTAATTGTAAATCTAACATGAAGTAAAGTTTCGGAAGCTTCGTAACTATGGGCAGCCATCACACAGATCCATATTCCCTTAGACCTTGGGTTCCAGTAATCTGAGGGCTCGTAGAGTACATACGTGGCGTGCGAATATTGTACTGGTGTAAGAACTACTTCCCAACAAACACAAATCGACCGGCGGAGTAATCAAGCATCATCTAAATTACATTTGACCTACGTGAGCATGCACTAAGTGGCAAAGCCTCCACCAGGCATGTTGCGAAGACAAACACCGAACACTAAACTTCAAACTTAACTTTGTCCAGTAATGTGCTTCAAGTCTACGCGAAGAATCCTTGAAACGCAAATGACCTTTCAACGGCCAGTGGCAGCTGAAGGAGCCCGCAGAATTCTCACCCTACCAGTCCACTCTTTTTTGTAGAACAAAAAAAGATCAGAGTGGAGATTTACGGGCACTTTTCTCGACTCGTGCATGCAATCGTTGATAAATAACCATCGTTAGTTGCAGCACTACACGATGAAAGGGTGAGGTGTAAAAAGCTGCAGATGCCATTAAATATCCTTAACCTGTTTCTTTAAAGAAGTAGAATGCTTGTGCCATGCAGGGATTAGCGCGCCGTTTAGGGACCAGAAAGTCTCGCTTAAAGAGATGTCTTATATTGTTAAGCTAATGAAATTTCAAGTGCTGTAAATAATTTATGGCAAGGCGAAAAATGTGCTCAGTCATTCTGGAAGTGTGCATTTACTTTCTTTACCATTGCACATTACAGCCATGTGTGACCTTAAGTCCACCCAGTTTGTTCGTTTCTCAATGTTCTTTTAGTTTAACGCACTGAATTTTAACTGAGCACGTGTAAATGTTCGCAACCAAGTAAGAGTGCTTGTGTGTGTGTGTGCGTGCGTGTTTGAAAAACCAGCTGACGCAAAAACATTCACCTGTTGCTCAGCTATGCAACCAACTTCACTTAAGCACCAGCAGCCTCAACGAACGAGCCAAATTTCAGGTTTCACACCATCAGGCAAGGAAGTTGTTACTGCAGACCTAAATGAATAGGCTTGTCTTGACAGAATAATCCCGATCTACTAGTGGAATAGCAACTGGTTGGTTTAACCAGTTGCTATGACGCAAATGGTACGCGCACTCAAAATGCCAAATGTAGGATTAGTGGAGCTCAAGGTAATTCGCAAGCAGATAAATCGAAGCTAAAGGAATACACTAGTTCAATTAATTGCGTGGATCGGTGTCCGGCAAGGACACGGAAAACGAAGATTTTCTTGTCAGTTAAAAAAGTATTTTGTATGGTCTTGTCTTTTTTTGGTCTCTTACATTTAATGTCCTAGTAGCAGGTACGAAATAAGCAATTCTAATCGTACATTGTATGTTTAGGTGTACGACGAGAACCATTATTGCCTTTAAAGGTAACATCCAACCAGCCTAAAGCAACAGCCATAAAGTATAGCATATTGCCCAAGTGCTACTTTTGCCAATTGAGCATTTTTGAAGCCATTTAGAAGGCTAAACAATAATTGTGGTCGTAAGAAAGTACGTTGTGGGAGCAAAAGTTCACAAGTAATCACCAGCCCAAAGCATTAAAGACCCATGATGGGCAGGGAGGTTTGTCACTTCGTTAAAAAGTAGCTTCGCCCACTCCGAAGACATCGATCGTGTCGCCTAAAAATCACGACAAACGACGAGTGGAAAGGTAAGGATTAGCGTCCAGGTTGTTGCTTGATTATAATCTCTTCAGCTGTGATGTTGGAGTAAAAACAAGGTGACCGTAATTATTCTTCAAAGTTTGGGGTGTACAACTGTCAGCTACGTGGCTTTAGTAAAATTTCTTTTATTTTTTTCTTGTAAGATGAAATTTGCATCGGATTAAAACAGAAGACACTTTGCTCCTACAAAAATTACTCATTTTGTCTTGGTAAATGCAATTTATTTGGCTTAAATTGCCCTAAAAATAGCTTTGTGCATAGCTAGTCGAAATTAAATGACTTGAAACACGTAATTTTACATCAAAACTAACTGGAATTTGCTCCCAGCCCAAAAGGGAATTGACACTGTGTCAATTGTCACGTAATACCCAACAAATGACAAACCACAAACTGAGCATAGTCAGTCTACTGAGCATAGAGTCAAATGCTTGTAAATGTGGTTCTCTTTTAAAAAAAACTATTGTTTACTGTGCAATGTGAATGTTTTTTGCTCAAAATCTCTTCCTGATGTAGGTATCATGCCCTAGTCACGGACATTCTGTAAGCTCTACAGCGCATGAGACATGAATAATTAATTCGATAAGTCAAAAGATCTGTTTGGACAGGTTTTTGTATTTATTATACTTACATCCTAGTTCATTAATAAGCTTCACTTGGTCTGGTGTAGTTGGAAAAAACTATGGTTTTTCATGGTTGCATTCAATGGACATTTGCTAAGGCTGCATTCACTAAATATGAAAGGCGATGTAGCACAAAGCGGCAAACCTTTTTTTCTTCGGCTACGTAGTATGTTTTAGACTGACTTCATTGCCAAATGCTCCTATCAGTACAGATTGCCATGCCAGTGAAGGCAAAATAATCACACAGGATGCAATATTGTGTATTTAGTTATAGCAGAATCATCTTCGCTGTGCGATTAATTGCCTTGGCCTGCTAAAAATGAAACTAATTCTGTTGTGTTCGAAAACCCAAACGCTGTCGAAAATGGTCGAATTCATGAATGTTGTATTGTGATGATTAAAAATACGTGGCGCTCATACAACATGATTTAGCACACATTGATAGACACACACCTAAAAAGATACTTCCTGAAACGTTTGCAATGTTCAAATGCCATTTCTAGCACCTGTTTGCACATTTGTTTTCGAAACCTCATTATGCTAAATGGATATCCTTACAAGTATTACTGGTTGGAGATCGCACAGACTTTTGGGCATAAAATATTTCCTTACTTGTAAAGTAGACCATAATTTTTCGCTCATCCAAGAAGGCGCAGTACGTGTAGTAATTACTAACTCAATCATTTCAAAACGACATCAAAAAAATAGGTGAAAACGGACAGTAGGTAACTCAATTAACTTAAGTTGGCGCATATGTTTTCCAGTAACTTTGACCCAGGACTCAATCAAGGTAATTAAGTAGTCACAATTCAAAATTCAAACAAGGTGATATTAAAAAAGTAGTTACGTCTTCGTTTAGAAAAAACTTTTAGTCGTACACTGGAAATTGACTTGCAGAACTTGAGGACGTACCTGGAATTCTCCAGGAAATTGAGTGGTTTAGGCATTTGTGCAACCTGAATGCCATCTCTAAGGAGTCCGAGTTCGCCGACGAAGTGTCACTGGAAGACAAAAACACCGTTGACGACGACGCCGTCGACGATGACGACGACGAGGAGGCAAGACTGCTATTTGATGATGAGCAGCCCCATGAAGAGAGAGAGGAGGAGGAGGAGGAGGCGTGCAATGGGCACTTTCCCCTACGCCGTTGGTCACGTGGGAGCCGGGTTAGTGATTGTCCTTCCTTGTCTATGACGGTATTCTCAAATGTTACCCGTCGATGTGTGTGTCTTGCAGAGTTGCATGGCGGGGAAAGTGAGGACTTCTTTTTACTCCACATATTATCCAGGTCGGGAGGTGTTGGGGAGATTGGAAATACCGAATTGAAAGACATGGATTCTATGCAGTCATGAACAGTGCAAAAGTGTAGAGAAATGTTCAAATGGGGAGATTAGTCGCGCGGCTCTGTTACCACACATAGCAGGTGGCTTCTGATTGGTTCTTTTCAAGCTGGCCATGGTTGGGTGGCAGGCATGACCAGAGCTCCATGAAGAAAAGCAAAGCTTTCAGGACTGCCTCTTACCTATTATCACTTCATTAGAACTTCTGCGGTCACTTCACGTCGAGCTTACAGTGTTTTCGGATTATTCAGGGAACAGTTGGTCAATGGCGAACAAAAATGTTGGTAAATTTATGCCACGAAAATAAAGAGATTTGAGAGAGCAAACGCTTCGTTTAAACCTTAGAAGAAAAGTTTGCTACCTTAGGAACAGCAAATATAAAAGTGGAATCAGAACTTTCATAGCACTGACATCGCACGATTAAAGCAGTGATACTCGGTACTTATTGTGCTACCACGGTTTCCAAATGTTAAGATATCTAATGAAAATTTTTATTGGAGTTTGTGTCACCATAGCTTCACATTCTTCAGTTGTAGTAAAGTTAGATCAGTTGTAAATCGATTAGCTCAATGAAATAAATCAATTCCCACTCATGAATAGATTGTTATTTTGTGTGCTGGGTGTTTGCATGACACTTTGCATGCCACATCAAAAGGTGCTTGAGGTAGACCTAACTCCATCGGGGTTTTCGAGGCCACAAAAGGACGTGTGGTAAGCTCAATGTGTAAATCAGTAAACAAGGTATTCGTTTGCAGCAAAGACCTGTCATTGTATGCTAATTTACCAGCCATTGTAAGAGTTTACATGACTAAACCTCGATTTTGTTATCATCACTGATAATGATTGTTGGCCTTACAGCGGTTCAGAATCAACCATTTTGGGCCTATTGTCATCTGATGCAGTTAGCAAATCGTGTGTGCCGCGATACCTGCAAATAAAATAATTCGGATTTTGTTTGAGTGCGCTCTCCTATTATGATTTTCAGGGGTTTGGAAGTATAATCTACAGCATGTTTTCTTTCAATACTTGATAAAACAGCATTATCTTAGGGAAATAGTGCAGTGAAAAATTCATGAGTCTAATTATTCCCCTTAATTCATGGCACTGATTTATTGGGTTACCACAGGCCTAGCGCGTGTAAATGTTTCATGTGGTTCGGCATGCTAGAAAGCAGAACGAGAGATTAATGTGAGAATGACTGGGCCAGCACATTAAGGCTGCTGCAACAATAGGCCGCAGCAAGACCAAAAACTCACAAACGTCACTGCATGACAAGTCGAACAAGTAGGCGTGCCTTGTAGAAAATTAGTTTTCAATTTCATTGGCAGACATGGACAGTTCTTATGATTTTTTTGGAGTTAATAAACACGCTTTGTCTGTGGTTGTTAGGTGCTGTAGCTAGCAACTGAGACACGTTAGTTTTTACTGACTTTGAGCTTCGGTGCATTTGGCTGTTATTTTGCTAACTTTAGTGGTCAGTAAGCGATAATCTGAACGCTAACATTTCTTGGTGGACATGGGTTGAGGTTTGTAAAGATGTGTTTTCGTTTCAGCTGGCTTTTAACTCGATCTAAATTCCATTAGCTCAAGCACTTGCACACAGGGCTAAACAAAGCGGATGTGCGCACTGCTCATGCCAGAGCCTTGATTGGTCACCGCTGTTTGTGGTTTCTGGTTGCACGCCAATTTGCGTTGTATGCGGGGTTGAGCTTTTCATTTTTGGTGTCTTTACGATGGCGAACTTGGAGCAAGCTCAAATTACAGTACGTACCGCAAAATCCTCTTTAACCATACGAAAATGCTTACTTCCTAGCATTCCGCATTCAGCCAGTAGAAATCAACCCACAGTTATTAGTACATTTGACAAACGGCAAAAAACACAATAGGTTTATGCTGGTATGGATCTTTGAAAAGTGATAAATCCTTTTTCATGGTCATGTTCTCACTACGTTTTCATGTTTTTTTTTTTAGATGAGAGTGCACTTAAGCATTTCTTGATGTTTAGGGACTGTTTTTGCAGAGCGAGTTTGGTTTATGGAGCTCACACTCACAGGGCAAAATGTATGCCAATTCAGTGCGCTCTGACACCGATTTACCGAGTCTTGGTATGGCGTAGTTAATGTGGGGAATGGGGTGGTTAGTGCTTAGCCAGTTTACTAAGCCATAATCATGATGAATTACGGAGGGAGCGAAATCCACTGAGAATAGATTCTAAGTACTCGGGGTTTTTTGCATTTAAAACCAAAGGAAATTGTCAGTCTTGTTCATTTGACTCTAGATTTTTGCTTAGCAAAAGCCGTTTTGTGTGGTGGCATACTCTTGCTTATTGTTAACCCCAAAGAGGCAGCCAAATCTCAACAATGCCCGTGACAAAGTGTTCTAAAGTAGGTGACTTTGCTAAGTGGTTAGAGTATGAGCAGCCGATGCCAAATAGACAAGAAAATAACAATGCCAATGTGGTTCTAAATTGCAATTCAAATGTGACATGTGATGCTGACACCATTGATATGCGACCGACCATTTTAAAAGTGAGAATGGAGGGAGTTGGAGATTGTGTTTTGCTTTACAATTTCGCCATGGCAACTGACAGGAGTCCGACGTTGTGCCGCTTGTGCCACCTCCCCTGGTTTTGTCCACAATCTGAAAATAGACAGGTGATAGCAGACACGGCTGTTCATCCGCGGACAGACCAGATGACGTGGTGACTGACGTGAGAATTTCACTGTAAAACACTAGCGAACAAGACAATAAGCCCATTGTGGGAACCAATGAAAGGTAGGGATGAGTCACACACCAGCTAGCCTGAGGTTAAATTGTTCGGAAGAGCTGTTACTCATAAACATCAAGTGGCAGCCACCACACACTCATTCAGACGAACCAAACACATCGACACCGTCAGGGTCAAGTGGTCATTACTGGAGTTGCACGAGTAACGTGAGTGTTTCTTTTGAAAACAGTGGCCTTTTCAAAACTCAGAATAAAACAAATAAGGTGAATCCATGGTGTAGCTGTTGATGCTTTACTTTTAAAGCAAAGCTTTCTTTTCACGATTAACAGTTTTACCACATGACAAGATGTCCTGACTCAGGTCCCATCAAATTGCTTCTGGCCCATAAAGACATCAAGTACACCGACGCCCCAATCAAACATTCTGAGTGGCCCCTGAAGCGCGAAGAGATCATCACATCCCGAGTGCCAGCGCTACGTATCCAGTACCCGGATGGCCGACTCCAGTGGATGACCGAATCAAAGGCCATTCTCCGTTGTCTTGGTATGCAATACGGTTTGCTTGGACGCAACGACATGGAAATGTACCACTGCGATCGCATTATTGGAAAGGTGAGATGCAAAATGTGGAACTATCGACTTGGCTCGTGTCGAACGTATCAGTGCAACCAGGCTATGCGTAGAATTATTCTGACATGAATTTCCCAGATCCCTACAGCAATAATTTAAAAGTTTTTTGAGACTGCCTTGATGACCTCATAGGTCACAAGTTATGTACTGAATAGAGTGGAAGGAAAGTCAAAGGTTTTGAAGAAACTTTGAGCTTTTCAAGCACTCAAGGCAATCAAGGAATATACTTTATTTTATAACCATGCAAATTGCCATGAATCTACATTAAACGATACAGGCGTTAGCTAAGAAAAAACACCCTAATCTCAACCTGGGATTGATTTCGTGAAGGGAGTGATTACGGATTTGGTTTTCTTCCACCGCAGAAATTATGCTAATTAAGACAGCCGATAGGTTTTTTGTTGCGAAAAATGCGCAAGATTAGGCAAGAGAGAAATTGGTCATGAGGTAGTCTTATCAGTCAATTTCTCTACATGGCTTACCTTGTTTCTGCGTGATGTCACAGTTAACTGACAAGACTTCTGACAGTAAATCAAATAGCGCATAAAATATCAACTTGTTTAAGGTTTCGTAGTTTGCAGTCGCTGCCACTCCGTGCAAAGTTAATGGTTCTTGTGTGTATAAATCCTTGACTTTAGAGGTTTAAGGTCTATTCGATTATTAAAACTGCGTGCAGTCTATGCTATATAGTTTCGTAGAAATTTATTGTAGCTCTTTTGCCCACTGAACTTAAGAACTACGGCCAGATTAAGGATTTACAGATAACTAAAGTAAACAGTTATAACTTTGACCTTAAATTTGTGGTAACCATCCGACTTACAGTAATACAATTAATTTGAAATTTTGTAAAAAAAAATGTGTAGTCTTGTTAAGCACTTTAACTCGCTAGTATTATGTTTTTGTGCGCTCTTTAACGTGGTTTTTATGTGACATTAGAAAAAGGTCAGTGACATTACTAGTCTAATTATTAGGAACAATGGAAATAACCACACAGTTTTCCAGTAATCTTATCTTTTTACGAATGTTACCAAACAACGTCTAATAGTAAGGCCTCTGAGTTTTCTTATGAGTTGTGTACTAAGAGTTGTTTGAATAATCTTTTAAGTATACTTTTTTCAGAGGGAATTGATGGAAAGTAAAGCTGAAATAATTTTTTTCAAATGGATACACTCTCTGACATCTGTTAAGTGTTAGTGAAGAACCCTAGGCGCATGGATAACGCCTCACGACAAACAGCAAACTATGCCCACGGTGTGCGCTTTTCAAGATCTGATTTAGTGCATGCATGCACCAATTTATGAAACGTTTTAGTAAACAGAGCGAGTTAAGAGCGGGCGTGAATCAACTAGTAAGTTAAGAGTAACGCATAAAAATGATTCATCTTTGATTAAAACCTCTCAGGCAGACATCTACACGTTAACTTCTTGCGGCAAACCACCTCTACCAAACGTATAACAGGAATGACTGTGGGACTCGTAACGCAATTACCCGGAGTTATGATAATCAAATAGTGACTTTGGCAACATTTACGAAGCATAATATAAATGCAAAGTATGTGGAGAGCGCGTCGTGTGGAGTTATTTATTTTGGTTTGTTTCCTTTTAGATTATCGAATCGGACAGATTATTGAAGGTTTTCTACAAGAATAGAAAGTTCCACGACAACGATATCAAGGAGTATAAAGAAAACGTAATTTCCGGGATCACGCACATTCTCGAGGTATTTGCGGCCTTAGCTACCGCCTGTTAATTTCTTGTTCTTTGGGTGAATAATTAAAGGCAACTTAACCAAATGCAGTTTTAACTGTTTCACAGCTGTTTAATTTAGGATTTTTCGAACTCAAAGCCATGCATTCGCTACCAAATAGCACAAATGTCACTAAACCCGAGTTGTAGAGTTATGACAATCCTTTTGTATATTATCGGGCAACTACTTTCCTTAGGTCTTGGAATTTAACAGGTTTTCAAATTTGGCAATGATTTTGCTTATCAAAATTTTGTCTGCAGAGCTCTAAATTTTTCTACAAATTTTCTTCTAGTCCGTTTAATGACTCGCCACCTCTGAAAGGCACCACTAATTGATAAATTTAATTTAAACAAGCATTCATTATAGCTATTATTTTTATCATTGAGCCTTTTATAAGGAAAAAAAGCTGAACTTTTCTTGACAAGATATTTAGTGACGCCAATTTTGTCATCGTGTCCATGGGGCAATGCCTGGATGGTTGCAATGAGATATGGATTTTAATCTGTTTATCTACTGACCAGTAAAATATCCCATAAAATTTTACTACATTTTCTACTCTCGGGACCAAGCTTCATGATGGCTTAATCGTTTCTTCCAAGCTCCCCAACTGACACACCAGGCCTAAAACATTAGTCCAGTACTAGAAAGTTAAAGTCTGAAATAGCTCTCACTGCATTTTTGATGTAGTTGAAAAGTCACCATGTATGTAGACCTCGTTTTACCGTTTTGGGGATACACCCAACAGGAAATAGTTACTGCCCGCGGCAAACTCATTAATTATTCTGCGCAAGTTCTGATTTGCCTTACTTTAGAGCATCGACCGCATGTTGAAAGACGCCCCAGGAGAATATGCGGCTGCTGATATCATCACGATTGCTGACTTCTACCTTCTCGATTTCATAGACTTTCTCAGAGCCAATAAACCGGATTGCTTGAAACCATATCCATACATCGAGAGATGGCGTAAGCATTTGATGCAAACCGACCAACTAGTTGCCAAGTTTGTGGTTTCACGCAGCTGGGAAATTCTTTAAACTCCATTCGGGAACACTGGTGTTAGAACAAATGCCGTCAACTATTATCAACACTTTCTTTTAAGCCTTTCTTGATGCGTTAATAAAAATGTGGAATATGCAGAGCTACTTCTCATTTTTTTTCTGTGTAACGCCTATCCATTTGTATTAAAACTTTAGAATGGGTTAATATTGTGTGCATACATAACATGTTTACGCGCTGAAGCATTAAAACTCACCACAAGGGTTGTATGCAAGCATCGATTCCCGAATTCCTTTTTTTAAAACACTTTACTTTGCTTTTGGTAATGACTTAGAGCGGTAAGTTTCTTCAGACCAATTTTTTTAAGCTTTCAGAAGTATGAGTCTGAAAGCAGCAAATAACTCAACAACAGAACTAGGTAAACAACATGAAGGAAGCTGTGCCGCAAGAGCTACTGAGTCAGATAAAATGAACTCAATGACGCTTGTCCTGAATTTTAATTCAAGGCACAGCTTCGTTCGATTTCCCGTAATTTGATTACCGTTGTGGCTTATTTTCATCAAAAGGATATAGCCGGTTTCTTCTCCAAATAAATTTTCAGATTGAATATTAAAATATAAGGTGAATGCACAGGTGAACACTTAAAGTACTCCGATTCAGTCCACTTTAGCTTAGCATGAGCACTTGTCAATCTTTTTTCCCTCGGCTATTACTTTGCAATTCGTGTTTACAGACTTGTCACCTAGATGATAGCTGTCGTAGCTGGAAGGTTGAAGATTGTGGCTAATATGGTAATTCACACAATTTATTTGAGGTCGCTATTATTACCAAGGGCTTGTATTTTTCCTTGCTTTTCTCAAATATCAACTTGTGAAGCATTGGTAAATATTTTAAATAAGATACTGCCGCATTTACCCTAAGACCCAACTAATGCGATGCCGTCGAACGAATTTTAAGATAAGGCATTTATAAAATTAAAAGCAGATATTTTTTAGAACGATTTGGGAATTTAACCGACTTAAATTTAAAACTGAGATACAATCTAGACTTCCGCGGTGATGCACAAACTTTGCCGCAACCTTATAAGTATACAAGGTATTCAAACAAGCTTTTGCTTGGCCCGATAAACATACGTATTGAAGCATGAGCGAAAGTCATTCATGAGTCGAATAAAAGTATTTTTCAGTGATCAGTCTCGCTCATTAAAATCAAAAATTCGACAAACAGACTGCCTTACTTTAGTTTCGTAACCTATTTTATTCTGGAATAGGCCTTTTCGAATTGTGCAACTAGTTGACTTATAAGAAAAGGTATCATTATTGGAAGTTGAATACAGGAAGGGTTTGAACAGGCAAGCCAGCTGCCATTTAGTTTCGACGCTAAAAGTCCAAGAATTGAGTAACTTACCCTCACGTTTGATAGAAAACCATATCAAAGACATGTGCTGCTAAAAGAAACACAATTATTTGGGTAGAACCCGGTGGTTTACTATTTGTGGCTTTAGCATATTGTTAGTTTAAGATAAAACAATCAGAGTCGAATTAATAGCTATTGATAATTTCCAAAAGTACTGTAACACATGGTGGGCTGCTGTTGTAGGCAGTAGTTGAACTAACCCGCCTGACGGCCAAGTGTAAGCCAGTCACTTCCGGTTGTTCTAATTTGAAAAACTCTTAAGTTAATCTGGTGTACTTATTGTGCCTTCACAAATCCAATTTGTATTAATACCAGCATTATCATGACACAACGCGTCCAGATTTCAACCCATAATTGGTTGTTTTACGATGACTGTCCATTTTCTTCAGCTTACAAGCGAACGACTATAACAACTAGCCAAGTACTTCGAAGTTTAAACTGTTGTTCCTGCATTCACTGACCACAATTTTTGGCGACGAACGCACTCGACATTTGAAATGTCCTGAATTTAGTGGAGTTCTAGGATGCGCTACATGTCAAAAGCTTCAAGCAAATGGTTGTGGTTCCCGGCATGTAGTCTCAAACTACTCTGGGGACACTTAGTTTAATCAGGCCTGGATATGCTGCCTTGTCGCCCGCGCGACACCCGTTTACCAGATAGCTCAACGAAGTTGTTAATCGCGCAATCGGGCTCCAATTACGTGCGTGATTAAAAAGGGTTGTCGATCGGTACAGTCTGGGTAAACGTGTAAATTGCAAATGGCTGGACGGTCAGATAAATGAAACGGGTAGCGTGTGGTAAGCACGCGCACAGGGTTTTATGAGCAGACTATTAAGATCGATGGGGGCGGAGTTGAAATGAGATTAGAATGCCAAAGAATGAGACCACCAAGTGATTTGGTGTGAATTAATACGACTGAATACAAGATTCTGAGCCACTACCTGATTTTTGAGCAATGAAATCGGTTTATCCGATTCCATTTGCATCTAAGCTGGGGTAATTGGAATTCCCTTTGGGTACCGACTTTAATGATTTATTTTGTACAGTTTGCAGACAGAAATTGTGCTCTCATTCATCAAAACATAAATTAGAGGGCAACTAGATTCCCTACGATTATGAAGCAAACGACAGTTGTATGGGACGCTTTGTAAAGCATTACTTGCGGCGAAATGCGCTGGAGCACAAAGCCAAGTTTGCAGACGATATCATGACTTACGGTAAATTTATGTCGATTAAATTTCCTTTTAGACTACCAAACATTTCACTAAAGCACTAAAACGATTCCGTCAACAATTTAAAATATGTTATGAAAATAAGAATCTTATCATAGCTCTACCGATAAAGTGACTTCAACACTGCTGTCACCTCGGTCCAGGTAAAAAAACGCTCCAACACTCACATATGCACACTAAATTGGCAGCACCAGTCTCTATCCAATTAGGTGAGGTTTCGCGAAGAGCATGGATGCAAGTTAACGTCCTCTCCTTGAAATTCCCCAGACGAGACATCGAAATAATAAAGGTAGTCCACAAAAAGCTGCATCCTACGACAACGGTCTTCTGGAAGTGTAAGTAAATTCAAATGGCAATTCAAATGTAGGTCCATTCAATTTCGCACTTTGAAAGGAAACATCAAAGAGAATAGGGCCTCAATAACCCATTGGTGGATTTTCACGAATAAACCAGGACTAGTCTTAGCTGTTGCCGAGGTGAAATGTGAGTAAATCGGTAAAAATAGAAACTCATGTGCCATTGGATTGACTTTCAGGTTCTATCAGCCTGTGTATTCTTAGGCTGATCACCTAGCCTTATGGAAGGCAGATGTGTCATTCTAATCGAATAGACCGAAATGAATGTATAGGTCAAAAATTGAATTCAACCTGTGATAAAACACCTTTCATGTAGTGAATCAACTGAAATCCATCACAGAAACTAGTCTGCAATACATAAAAAATATTAAGTAAAAACATTAGCGTGAAGGGTAACAGTTTTATCACCGCGCAGTGAGGCCGTAGTGACAGCATTCAATGACACCGTTAAATGTGGTCTTCAAATTAATTTGGACGTAACCCATTTGAATCGACCAGATGTTCAAGATTAATCAAATTTATGAAGCTGTCTATCAACGAAATGAATCTGATTAGTAAACAGATTACAATTCAGAAAAAAAGAATAATAAGTAGTCAAAAAGCGTCCGTTTTTCCACTGCTTATACTGCATTCCGCTTCACATTATTTATTTGAAGATAAATAATGGTTTCATTCAGAATGTCTAATGTGTGTTTTTGGCATATGGATTTAGTAAATGGTCGTGAGTTTCTCTCGAATGGCACAACATCGTGTGCCTATTAGAATACTAAGTTCTGATGCATACGATCGTGATCCAAAATAATAAGAGTCAGGTAAAATGGGTCTGATAATCCAAAAATATGTTGTTTGGTTCATCTTCACAAAGGTGATTTTGGTATAAGCTAGCTTGGGGTATATTGCAGTTCTGCTGTACTTTGCTTGTGAATAAAGGCCATTCGACCCAAATCACCAAGACAGATGCAGATTCGGTCAAGATAAAACGGCGTACCAATCTTAAACGCCTTGTAAAATTCTAACATTTGGCACGTTTTAAATCAAATGTTATGGAATTAATAAAAATTTGATTTCCTGGTAGGCTAGCATAGGTTCTTGGATTATCGTGAGTACTTCGGGCAACCGAATGTGTTCCAAAATATTTATGAATCGTCACTTCGCATGTAAATGTTATTTTAAAGAAACCCTATAGTGAATTTTAGATGAGTGTGTTGTGCACAAACAAGCGAACTAGAACTAGTCAAGTTGCTATAGTCGCTGAAAAACATGCACCTCATCCACTAAGCATTTCGGGAATATATTTGCGGTTTGTATTTAGTGCACAAGTAATGAAGTTCATTTGCTGACGCAATCTTTGACTTATTTTTCCTCCAATGTTTTCATTTGAGTCTCAAAAAATGTTGGCAGTTTGCACAAATTTACTGCAGGTATAAAGAACAAAGTTTATCTGGATGTCTTTTTTTACAATTACGTAAGCTTTAAGTCGTTTATTCAAAACGTTCCACTTTATTGTTTGCTACTATACTCCTAGGTCTTTTATGTTATTCCACCCGACTAGTTAATGAATTTTTTTTATTCCAGCAACACAAACAAACAAGCATTACGCAATTAAACTTACAGGTAGGAATCGTCTTTATTCGTGGTATGATTAGGGGACAACTTGACAAATTCAACGCCAAAACTACTGCCATCTGCTAGATTTGTTAAAAAGCCTTCTACAAGTACATTTATGCAAACACAGCAATCAATAAGTATAAAAGTGCTACATTTAACCGTGTTACAAAAAAATGATGTCAAATGCTAAGCGATGTCATTTTAGAAATTTGAGCAGATTGCGTCGACTGGATTTATTTTCGAGGCGAATGAATTTAACCATTAAAGAATCAAATACAAATTACTCCTTAAATTTTTAACGTATTATGAAAATAATCGACCAAAAGGAAAAAGCCAAAGCTTGGGAACTAGTTTTGTATTTTGCAGATATCGCGTGTTATTTAATTTCTTAATAAAACCTAAATAACTTTTGACACCCATAATGGACTGGATATTTTCAAGGTGCTGGCTAAAAGGATACGGTTACAAGCGCCGACTTACATCTGTAAAATTAATCGCCACATACTTAAGCACTTAGTCCTTCTTTTAGAAGGGCCCAGTCACTTCCCCAGTCATGTCGCAACGTACACCTACATCTGCTTCATCACACTAAACTTTTTTCTTCCCTGTAGTATAGACGGGTTGCACCTAAAAACTACTTTAGAGGCTCTATGGTTAACGTAATATTTGTTTGCCGGTTGAATGAACACACTAAGTTTACCCTTACCGTGAGCATTTCATTCTGTGATGGTCTTCAGCAATGTTAGGTTTATCATTCAGTGTTCCTATAAGCTGTTAAACAGCAACTATTCCCAACTTTTTATTTTTCGTTATTTAAAAACTGATTGACAGTTACTATAACCTATGTGGGCATAAAATAAGAAGTTGGAATTAACAATACATTCCGTTAGTGTGAATTTCATTGGTTGGAATGCTCCTAAGCCGATGACCAATTTAACCCAAACGTTCAAATTGTCTTCTGGTAATTTTTTCTGACAAAATGAACTACATGGGTTTTACTAAAGCTCGTTTTGTATAAACACATTAATGTTGTATTGTTTGAAGTAATTTATTTTGAAGCACCATAATTAGAGATCCTTTGCCGGATTATTGCTTTTTCTTACATTCCATGTGAGCAATTAGTCACCATTTAGCCTCACCGTCAGGATTAATACCTTCCTATTATGTCCGTAGACGTCTACTTCACGTATACACTCCAATAATTAGACTGTTTTGGTAGGTTGATATTTTTTTTCAGCCGACTGCTGTTTTGTTCAAAGTAACTGTGTTCTGTTTTATGCTAAAACCATTCAACCGGCCTCTGTTGCCTTTTCTTTGAGAACTTAGCACCCGATTTAGCAAGAGTTTATTAAGGCTAGTGGTAAAAACCTGTCTAGTTACTGAAGTCGCCTTTCTTAGTTCACAGTTTGTAATCACAATCAAACGGATCGCAACTTTTTGTGACCTATGACAAGCTTACTGTTTTTGTTTTCAGTCCTATCTGCATTGCCTTAAGTAAACTGAAATCTAATCTTTAGTACTAATTTTATTCGCAACAGAATCGGTTTTGAGTGGAATCCAATACAATGAGTGTTCTCATGAGCCAGGTAAGAGGTTCTTTGTTGGTTCTGTGCTCTCGTTCCATGCCGATTCTAACCCCATAATTTCTAAGGTACCCAGCCAAATGAACCAGATTCTCGCATTGAGAGATAAGTTTGTTGAGATTTCAAGACAATCCGATGAAAAATTGACTTCAATGATTGACGCAGCTAAAAATTTTCGCTGCGGTATGGAGCCATTAAAAAAGGAAGTCGATCAGCTCCAAACTCGTGTTAAAAGTACTTCTTTCTATTTCACCACTGACTTTTCTCGCAGATCTTGAATATTGCATCAACGGGCTTTCCCATGTTCAGAATTTTTACAAAACTGGACGCGAGGTTGAACAGATCATCATTAAGGGGTATGAAATATTTCAATCACTCAGGTCAACCCAGCCCATCGGGGTCTCTTGAAGAGTACATTAGAGCTATGGACCGCATAAAGGATTCTCTTATTTATTTCAACCAGAACAACACGGAACACCTGGAGTACACGCGACTTGTAATCTGTCTGACATATTTTAAATTTGCGAATTTAGAATACCCTTTTATCGAACGGGTTAAAAGCATTGAATAAGCGTTTTGAGGAACTGCTCAGTCAGTCCTTTACCACAATGCCAGCAGAAATCCTTTATAAGCTATCTGAGAAAGAAGGTTAGCTTTTAACCACTTATTATTTATTCCTTACCCTCCTTTGGCTCTGGTTACTGGACCAATGTGTACCTGTCCTCTCTGTCGCTGAAAACTCGTAACTTTAAATCCTTGTTTCACTCATACTCGTAGGCATTCCTTTATGCAGTACATCCTCACCAGCCTGTTATTTTGGAAATACATTTCATTCCGCGTGTAAATGATATAAACTTTCTTCAAATTTGTTTGCAGCTTCATCATCCTCAGTTTTAGCTGATCACGCATACCTGACCTTAAAATCTACTAAGTTGGGATGACTTTTTATGTGAACATTGAAATCTGTCATGTTTGTTTGTCTTATTTTTATTTAACACGCCCAAACTTGCTACCTCATTTCGGTCCATATCTCGGCCCCTAGCGTCGCAATTTCTTGGTGTGTTTTGTATCGCTTTATTGTTTCTGAATGCAGCCCTTTGACTGCCGACTTCGAGTAATCCCTATTTTTTCATAATGGTCGAGGTTTGTCGTGAATGCCGCTTTGTGGGATGGTCCCTTTCTCGCAGCTGCTGTCTTGGGTTCTGTGTTACCTCGAAGATGATTCGAGTTTTAGATCCTTTATCATCAATGCAAGTGTATTACCCTCCCGATAGATAATGAAAACGGTGATGAGAATCAACCTGTGCTTCTGGAGTGTGACTCAGTTTCTGATGAGGCCGTCCGCAGCATGCTGGAGATCTCCGATTGGCTTCGTAAGGCCGGCCCCTTGGGTGTCGTGGCGTCAACCGGAAATGATGGGCAGAAACCCCATCACCATTTCCCCCGACCCTCCTTTTTTGGTGGTTCTGATTCATCGGGTGGAGGTAGTTATCAGTTGCCTGAATCGCTGGCGCAGTATTGTGATTTTCGGAGGGATTTAATGCGTGTCACACTCATAAAGTACGTTGTTTGTTCGTTGATTTTCCATATTTATCTTGCCATGCCCTATCAGTGGTGAACGGAATTGCTATCTCTTTAACTGTCTCGGTTATAATAAACTTATTTCCATTCGTCCAAGTATTGTGTCATGTGCAATTATCCACTTTTTCCATGTAGGCTTCGCGAGTACCAAAAGTCCATTGAGAAAAATCCTCAACCCACGGTAAGCTACCATTTCGCTAAACCCGGGCGTGTGATTAAGACCAGGCAGCAACAACTGCACAACTCGTTGAGTTTAGCAATGGCCATGGTCTTAGGGGGTTTCTTCGCTGCCAACCTAATGCGCAACTTATTGTGCTACTTCTAGCGCGCGCGTTCAAATGTTGGCGGAAGTCAGTTGAATTTGTCAACGCCTGGTCGACGTCGGTATGTGTATTTTAATACTCAACCCTCAGGAAAATTTATTTTATTTTTAAAACAATGCTATCGTTTGATGCAAATTAGTGGTCACGTTATTCTGGTAATGGAAAGCCACTCGAGGGCCCCCAATGGCCCTGTGGTCTCACTAAATCTGCAGCATAATCTGTTTGGTATAACACTGCTTTAGACATAGTTTTTGCTGGTTCATATCGCAAATATTAATTATTTTTGTTAAGTTTGTTTCATTCAATTCACACGGAATCCAAATGTCGAGGTTTTTGGTGTGTACAATACATATTTTAGCTAATTTTTTAGTTGAATGTTCACTGCTTGTAATTTTTTTACATTCACCTTCGCGGTTGTATGCCAATCCGATTCAACTTTGATTTTGATCTGATTACGAGTTTCAGTAGGTCAGCGTGGAGTTGGAAATCTCTATGAAGGAATTGTTAGAATTAATTTCGACAGACGTGTCTTATTGAGCGCTCTGCACTACATACATTGCATATCGCATTTTTGCGGATTCTAAACGATAAGACATATCGAAATTGTTTGTATTTTTTCTCCATGTTGAAATTGACCGTAAACGAACACGCTCAAACATAATTGAAGGGGATTTATTTTAAAGGAAATTAAAAATGACGGGCATCAAACATCGGAAGGAAAAGCCTATAATATCAGCGAAGACGCATCGGTTAATTGGGACCACCGAAGTTATTTTCTTGTCGAAAACTTGAAATCTAGTTCCATGTAGCCTAAAGAGACTTTTAAACTTTAACCACACATACCTGTAAACTTTCCAATTGCCATTCTTCTTTTAGTGGTTTGAAAGCTGTCGGCATTGTTTGGGATGGTAAGTTGTTTATGCAGTTGTTCCACTTTCTGACATTGCTGGATTTGCAATCAAACTTGGATAATGTGCTTAAAAATTCCATATTTTCCTACTTATTTTGTAAAACTGGATTCCATTCACACCTCTGTGGCCCTGTCTTCTCAATTACTCGCTTTATCCATTACCTATTTAATATCGATTAATCAGATACTCATCTGTTTCCCCTGAAATACGAAAGTAGCGCAGCGGTCACACATTAAGGGAGATTTTAGCTTATTCAGACCTTTGCTTGTCACCGAAAAAAACCGTTTGCACACGCTCCGTATTCCGATGATAAAATTTGACCCGAAGATCGCTGAAGCTACTTAAAAACGAATGAATATAGGGGGCAAAAACTTTCAATGGTTGTATAAGCGAGAACTAACGGTGCTTCAACTCCAGGAATTGAATCACGCCCTACATACTCCTACCTACAAGTAGAAGCCAGTTGATCAGTTGAGAAATTGCGTGCAGATCTCTAGATAATAGAACTTGTGCCATTACATTCTCCTATGGCAACCCTGAAGTACAAAATAAAATCAGGCCCACGCCTGGTTGCTATGGTGGGTTATCTAGCCACCATCTGACCGCGCCGTTCCATGACATGGGAAGTGTGCCTCAGGCACTTGTCTAAATCGTTAATTTTATCATTTTCCATATTTAGTCATGGTAGTTGCCTCCCCTGGAGAGCAAAGTTCGTCTGTGGAATTTTTCGTGTTTGTCAGCCTTCATGACCTCAAGGCATATTTTTGAACTTTTGCCTTTAAACTTGCGTGCTTCAGCGAGCTATCATCATGAGGTTATGATTGAAAGTATGGCCTCATGGGTAGCGACTGCTTACCTCACTAACTGGCCTAAGCTCTAAGCTGAGGTCATATTGCTCCCGCAAATCCGGCTCCTGTTTGAGTCCACACACGAACTGGACTTCCATTGTCTTGTTTTTTTTTCTATTGCGTGTTTTCGGTCGTCGATTTTCTTACAACCCTAATGCTCCAGCCTTTGGCATGTAGTGAATTCACGACGTGGAGTCGCGAGTGACATCCGCGATGTGGAGGATCTCGATTCGGAGCACTATGCAACGAGTCTCAGTGCATTCCTAATATTGATTGAGGTAATTGCCTTTGCCTTCGACGGCTTGTGTTCGTTTGTTTATTTGACTATCAGTAATGGGATTAGAAACCCCTTTGACAGTCCATATTTTACTGAATTGGCTTGACTCAACCATATTGTCAATGAATTGGAATTTTGTTCAAATTTTAAGGCATCTTTGTTTGAATTGCGATGATTGATCGTCTGCGTTTGACCCTAGATACGATTTCGTTTTTCCACACAACGACGGAATACTATTTAAATTAATTGCTATGCTCATTTGAGAACTCGGTAAACAGGACAAACTGAGGTGTTCGTAAATGTACATAATTTGACTGTTTTTTAAGGCTTTCAGTGGAAAATTTTTATCTTTAGCGAGAACGTCTACTTTTGGATCGTTTGAAACTGGCGGCGAACTCCCACGAAGCGCACTTTGCCTACAGCCTCATCTGCAACAGCGCCCTTAAAGACCTGCTAAATGAGGGTGGGGTAAGTCCTGCGCCGGGCCAAACGAACGTCCTAGGGTGCCTGCATTCATTATTAGTGGTACTGCAGCTTCCCAACTTTTGGTGATTTCCGAAAACCTAATGAGTTGTCAAGACGTTAGTGCCTCTGATGGTGAGGGTTACGTGAGTCATGCCATCACGACAAACACCTACCTTGTGTTAAGGTGCGCTCTGAGCCAGCGACGTAAGGCCGGCCAGTTGTACATGCACTTGTGTCATCACATCCCCCACTACGAGCACCTGCGTCTCTCCTTCGTAAAACTCCTTTATTGCAGGCAAATGTATTTTATTCACTGAAAATTAAACCAGTTAGTGTATGATAAAATTGTTTGCAGATAGGCTGTTTTGTACACTTTTCGCATTGAATGCTGCTTGATCGGAGTTGTTCGTTCCCTCGTGGTTATTGCTCGTATGCTTCGGTTGTCTTTGTTTATTGAATTCAGTTTGTTCGAATAGCACCGTGGTGCCTTGAATATGTTGCTGCGAAGATCATTTTTGATTCGACTTACAGTGTACCCCTTAAATGCTGTATTGCATTTGAAATTCGAATACTTTTTTTAGACCTACGTCCGCTTAATGAGCAGAGTAATTGGACGTGGGGAGTTCTACATGATCGTCTCCCTTCTGACAATCATGCGTAGGTTCATAGAGCTCTCTCCATCGTTCGTGCAAACTCTAAAGGTGGGTCCGTGCCCTTAACAATCCCTAGTCTCATATCGTGGTATTTTTTGCTCCATTCAAAGTCTTTTCCATTTCAGGTGGTCAGTACGTTGATGCAACCGATGACCAACTTAGTTAACCGTTTCCGAGAGCAGATCAAAGCTACTTTCGACGCGTTTCTGCAGCAATTGGCCCCTGGGTTCGGAAGTTCTCAGGTTCCGCCTGATGCGACTGTTCATGAACTTGCCTCCAATGTGAGTCGTGTCCACTACCCTTGTCCAAATACGCGGCCAACCGCTACAAGTGCCGCGTGACTTCAACTAACACCGAGGTTTTCAAACTAACTTTGGAGAATTTCTCTGTGAACGCTATCCTTAAACCCACTGTGATCATAGTTATGGAGTTTCGTGATTTTCGAAGCATACTCGCTCCGGTATATTGCAAAATGGCAACGTCTCAAGTCGTCACATTCATATTCGGGTAAATCCAGATTCGGCTATCTCCGAATATGACAACTTCATGTCTTAATTAATTCGCGAACTGCAGGATTCTTTTAATACCACGGTATTTGCCTGTAGCATTCCTTCAAAGTTACCTTAGATGGTTAAAAAAAGCTACTTTTACTGAAATAATCGTGAATCGCCCACAAGTAATCCTCTCAAACAAAGTTCGTGTCTTTTTTTCGGTTCTTATAACGCATTAATCCTCTTACGTGTTTACCGCTTAAAGGTCAGAATTAAAGTTAACGTTCGACGTGATTCCGACTGGTGAGATAGAAAAGTGGAATAATGTTGAAATACGAATCCATCGACGTGCCTCGTCAGTTTTGGCTTTGGTTGTAATGCTTAGCGCCTGTTGTTCGTCTGGCTTCATGTTTTCACTCAAATTAACGTAATGTAGAGAGGAAATCACTTTCTGCAGCATTACTCTCGGCGCTGTTGAAGTCCATTCTAGCTCATGAAATTTAGATCAGGTGTCGTTGTTTCTCGCCATTTTGCAACTCTTAGCCCCAAAAGTCATTTGCTTCGAGAAGTCACATTACCACACTGCAATTTTGTTTTTATTTTCGTAATGCTTGGCATCAACTTGTGTTGCATGTTTTAAGGTTCTGCTTTTCCTGGAGAAGTTGATGGACTACGAAATCACCGTTGGGACTGTCTTAACCTGGGAGGAGGCCAAGGTGCCACAGGATGCCACCTTCACGTATCTAACCACTGTGACGTCGAAGCCCAAGATGGCTAGGTCTGCGTTTGGCCAGTACATCCGTAAGAGCTGCCCTATAATTTGAGCAGTCGTCTCCATCTCTGAGCGTGTCCACATCTGTTTCAATGTCGTCACTCGCAGTAGTGTCGTTAATATTTTCGTATCACCGGATCTTATTGCCTCTAAAAAGCGATTCGGCCATAAACGATTACCTTTTACTCAATTCCTTTAGTCCGTGTTACCACCTCACTTGTCGGGAACATTGACAAAAAATCCGAAGCCTACTCCGACGATCTCTCAAGGACAATTTTTCAAATGAACAATCTTCGGTATATCCTGACAAATCTTGAGAGGTGGCACTCTTTTATTTGTCGTAACAGACTTCATTTTCAGGACTGGGTTACAGACGATTTTGAACGAGTACGACACTGCAGCCGTCGATAAGCTCACGCGGATACTGAACGAAAGTAAACACGTCTACACTCGAGCGTGCGTATGCTTCTTCATATCTCACTTGCTGTGATCCCTTTTTTGTGTTCCGGCTTTTATTTTAACCCTTTTAACAGAATTTCAAATTTGGTTGGTTTTACGCCCTCGAGTAAAGACGGCACCTCGACGGGTACTCTCCGGCGCAAACTGGGGAGTGCCCTGTCAGTAAGTTTTGCTAGGCGTCGGTCCTCGAGGAGCGAGTCCTTGTTCGGCAGTCAGGAAACAGTGGCTTCTCTCCCCAATAAGGTATCAGTAGTTTGCATGTCGGCGTCTTCCTGTTTTTGCTCTATACCCCTGTCTAGTAGTGATTAGATTTCAGCCTCGATGCTATTGAGCTCTTTTTACGCATTTTGGTGGGCTTACAATTCTGGGCCCGTTTTTTGATGTGACTGTTTCCTTGACAACCTCTGTTGAAGTATGGTTCGTCTTTTGCATGCACAATCGACGCCTCACCCGTTGGGTGCATCTCAGAGGTTGGAACTCGGTCCAAACATACCCTTCAAATCGCTTTAAATATATATTTTTTTGATTTTCATAATCGGATTTCGGCGCCTAAATTTCCGGTCCAGCTATTATTACTGTGCTTCACTCGTCCTGATTATTTCTCATCGTGCTATTTTGATTGGTTGTGTGTAGATGCATGCGATTCGTCGATTTGCCTTCATCCGCTTTTATCAACCAGTTTGCTCAGCGTAGACAGGTAAATGTGCCCCGCTTTGTCCCTCCGTTTTTTTGATCCCCTTTCCATAACAGTCCATTTCTCCCTTAACTAGTTGGATTCGAAAGAACGGTCTCAAATGAAGGATTTGTGGAATGTAAGCCCCTGTTGCTGTGTGTGTATACATATGTGGATATCGGATTCAAAGGAAGTGCACTTACATGCTTTATTTTTTTTAATGCTTAAACGCTGTTTTTTTTTCTTTTATTCAAAATTCTTTTGTATCCGGCCAAAATGTGTTTAATATTAGAAAAAGTGGAGGAACATCAGCCACAACAATTTGGTCAGAACTGATAAATCCTTATTGTTTAGGGACTTTCTCTGGATGGTAAAGGTCTTCATGGAACAGTTAAGCCGGAACACCGTAATGTTTCCTTGGGCACCCTTTTCTGTAGAGTCTGTAGTTTGAATGCGTGTGGTGGCTGGCAGTTGATGCCGCATTAGGGTAGCTGAGATGTGTAAACGTAGCGGTATATGAATAATCTTAGAACCACTAAATCCTAAAGATGTTGCCTTGGCTCACTAGGAGCTATGAATTTATCGTCCAGGGCAGTTTTTGTGTCGTTACCAAATATAGTTTCTGGCTACTGAGACTTACGGGAAATCTTCCTAATTAGTGGTACCTTCAAACCTGTTAATACAACTAAGTCCGTCCTAAGATAGTGGCGCATTTCACTGATCACACGTTTTCAATCCACAGTTAAGTGGAATAAAGTCTCTTTTTGATGTTTTTTTTTCTGAACGGGGTGTCAAACCTATAAAACCACACCAGGCAGCATTCACAATCAATTTGAGGAGGAATTTCGTATGTTTTGGCTTGAGTCAATCTGTCTGCTTACCGTGGGAATTATTTTCGTACATTTACAGAAAATTAATCAGGGTTTCTCGAGTTTTTTGAAACAACATTCGGAATTATCGATTCCCGATAAGGATCTGCGCGAGGACCTTTGCGCCTGTCTGACAAAGGACCTGGTCCCACTCTACCAGACACTCTACGATCGCTCCCTCCAGACCCCCTTTACCTCGCGTCGAGAGAAGTACATTAAAATGAACACGGCAGAATTTCAAGCGAGGCTAAGTCAACTATTTTCTCCTGGATCTGGACAACATCGAGCCCCCAAATCCTAACCTCTCGATCCCGCTCTGACCGATTTCGATTAACTGTGATTTTTCTCTCTCTATTGTAATTTTTTGGGTATTCCTCGGAAAGGGTTTACGTGCAAATTGTAGGAAATGAAGTCCTTTCGTCGTGATTTATGTTGTCAATTTACTCCAAACGTGAAAGAGCACTTGCACTAGGTTTGTTGAATTCAATCGTAAAAGCATTTTTGCCACTGTTGGTACAAAAATTGCATCGTTTTCCTCTGCCCTCCGATACTTTAGCAAGCGATGGCACGACGTGCTCTTCACACTCTAATGGCACTCTTGTCCATCGTAATGTTTTAACTGCATTTTCATGGTCGGAGACGTGCGTGTTGAAGCACCTCGATGCCTCTGTTCCCGACTTTGCTAACGTGCGTTTCACCATCGACCACTTCCCGCTTTCTCCCGTGCGTTATCCGGGTTGTCTTCCCGGGTTCGTGCATTTAATTTTCACCACTACGCCTGCGTATCTTCCTGGCTGGTTATTCACGTTCCATCGCCTGTAGAGCTCATTGTTACAACGGATTTTTTTCCATTTTAAGCCGAGTTCACCGACATCTTTATATTGTGTTCCCATTCAAAGACCTTTTAGTGCGCCTAAACTGTGTCTTCTATCTGGTAATTAGTTAGTAAACAGCATGGGCCAAGTTTGTGCTGAGTTTTAGGGAAGTGAATGTCAGGGGTACGCACTTGTCAATTTATGCGGTTTTTTCGGTGTTTACTGGGGTGGATCAACAATGTAGCGCTGATGTGCCCTCTGTAGAGGTGAGGACGATCGACATAGCTATTCTTCCTGTTATCATGCGATACTCTTCTTGCTTGAATACCTGCCCAAGTGGTTCGCTATCGTTCAATATCGTGGACACATTAACTGAACCCGAATGATTATCAGCGTGGTTAGCAAATGGTTAGTGTCTGTTGAAGTTCATACCTCCGTTACATAGACTAATACAAGCGCGGGGTCTGGGGTCCTCGGTTCTCAAATTCGATTGATCAGAAAACGCCAAATAATTTGTGATTTTTTTCGTATTCTCGCATTGAGTTTGACAACATAACTGATCATTGTCGTAGCTGACTCGAAGCGTTTTGCACACAAAAAATAGGCTACTACGTTGTAATTTGTGTATCAACATTTGGCTCTGAACAGTCCACACAGCCCAACCTCGAGAACAAGAAAACTTATTTACTTGTCCTCCATTTGCTTGAATTGCAAAGGTCACAATCAGGTGAGTCCTGAGAGGCGAGACTGGAACAGGATCTAAATAACCGTTCACGTTCTCTTTTTATTTTGGCTTCCGTTTGAAGCAACCACGTTGGCATTTCAAGTCGCAACGATTTGGAGCCCGTTGGTGGAGTATTCGGCAGAGCCCCGACGAGCCCCTGTCTACACCGAATTCTCGGAACTGGCATCTAGTCCTCCTGGCTGTTAGTGGTTCTACGCGTGGAGCTAAAAGCTCGTACTGTGGCGATTTCCGTACCTTGCGAACGACAACCGTTTTACGGCTTGCACTTTCATCTTTAAGTGCGTAGCCATGTAGACCATTCATGTACTCTGGTGATGACGTCGGACGCATTTCTTAATTCAGCCGAAGCAAATGTAGTCGAGTTTTTTACGTGTTGAGCCGACCGTCTCATCACACAACTGGTCCACCAGTCGGGTCGTGAATTCATCTAATGTGCAGAGGAACAGGTTGATCTACGTGGTTCAAACTCGGATGCTCACAAAGGTGGGTTTTAATTTGTTGTGCTAATTGTATGTGTGCTGTGGTGCACATGTCAAGTATCTACAGGGCCAAAAGATTTTAAATATCCAACTGGCCAACTTTTTTTTACTTCAAGTAACCCGCAGTGGCATTGTACCAAGGCGGATTAAATACTGTTGGCTATGTATGATAGGCTTCTTAATGTCGTTACTGCGGTATGTTTGAAAACGCAAATTCTAATTGTTTTCTGCTATTGGTAGTTACAATGCTTGACTGGTTCCTCAATAATTTTTTTTTTCAATAATTCATTCATTGTGGCAGCGAAATTGGATATTTCCTGGTACTTATGCAGCTTTTAACTCTAACATCATTGTACCTTTGAACCTGATTTGACCTAACTGAATACTAAAATGCGACTGCATTTTACGTATAAATGAACACCGAATTTATTGTGATGATGACATTTAAGAATATTGCATTTTTAGACTGGATCAAGGCTTTATCATTGCTATTTTGCAAATGGCGAAAAGTGGTTAAAGTGGTGAATGTAGTAATAATCCACGGGAACTCGAGCATTCACCTGGTATTATTTTCTAGGTAAGGCCGAAACCCCTGTGAGCCACCGATATCTGCCACTTCTGCCCAATTTTACGTTTCAATTGACGTAGTCATTATAAATTAATTCAAAAGTCCCTTAATGTGAAAAGTTTGCATGTTCCGCGAAAGCTCGCTACATCAAAACTAAAAATCCTAAATACCTATTTATTTTTTAATGGGGGATTATGTCTTGCTTCGATACAATTCTATGGATTTATTTCATGCCATAATGTTTGTCAAAAGTGGGTAGTTTTTAGGTCATTATTGGGTCCAAAACACCACGCTTAGCTAAGCATTTTTTTTTACCTTTTTACCATTTGCTTTATTGTCAAGTACCTATTAAACTTGATTTGTGCTTCAGTGTTATCGTCACGCACACACACACACACACACACAAATCTGGAGGTGAACGCGCCACCTTCTTAAAATTGGATTTGCTAGTCTATAATATGATCGGCACATTCCGATAAGTGTCTTCAGCTTTGACTTGGTGATTTTCTAATGATATCCTGATTTATCCACATTTAGGCTACGTTGATAAAAGCTTACTTTTGGTTGAAGTTCATTTATTTTCTATGCATGTCTGTCTACCAAGTAAAATCGCTCATGGCTCCAACGTTGGTTTTGTCCAAAGCCAGTGACCTTCGCAAAACCTCATTCGGGTCCTCTAAAGATGAAATCGGTTACGTGACACCACACTTAGTAGTATTAAGCCACCTAAGATAAATTCTATATGCAATTGCGAGAACTTGATTAGTTCACAGGAATTGATGAAAGCCAGCCTGGTTCCCACATTTTAGCTTCAAATACACTCATCGTAATCTCCGGTTGCCTGAATCACATCAGTTATAGGGCTATTTGTAAAAGGTGTCATGAATATCTGAATTATCAAATAGATAAATGAATGCCAGATGGCCCACTTTTACACTGGTCCAGAATTCGCTTGCTCTCATTGTAGGCGGGTCACATCACCTCGCTCTGGATGAAGCCAATTAGACAGAGCGGAACTCTCCGTCAGTGTATGATTTCCTCTGATCGGTATTCGATCTCCGGTTTAGTATCACCCAGAAACTATTTTGAACACCTTAATTGACTACAGGAATCGGCATCCTCATAGGGCTTTTGAATGTTCGAAATTTTTCAGTTTTTTCACATGTAACGTGCGGAGTCTAAAATATCAAGTGGTCCGCAACCTTATCTGGTGGCATGTTTAAAGGCGATTAAATCTCAATGAGAAATGACCATGGTTAGCCACATTCTGACCCATGAGAACATTTATTTATCTCAACTTTTTAATTGTAGTCTTTCACAGGTGTCATAGTGGGGCTCAGCGAAACTTGGAAGATCGAACACTTTGGGAACTTTTCCAGGAATGGCTTAGCCACCACCGTAAACATCCGTTTGAAAGTTCGCTAGCATTCGTCAGCAACATTTCACTTGACGACTTAAAGAGCCGGGCGAAACACATTACCGAACAACAGACACCGACGAAGGCCCCCCTAGTGCTGCTTTGACTAGCCACGGGTCAACTCTAATTAGCCAACGCACTAAAATGGTGAAAGAGCCCACTTTGCTCCATTTATATTGTGCGACAGGACCTGTGGTATCAGCTTTTTGATATACTCGTGACTATATGTTAACGCGAAGACGTCGCGTGTCGCTAGTGTTAGAAACTAAGATTGGGATATGGTAGGGTTCCGTCAACTTTAGTCTCTTCGATAGCATTCACAATGAGGCCTAAAACAGGCCCTAAAAGCATCACTAATTCTCACCTGAAAGTATATTTGCATTGACAAAACGACTAGAAGTATGCCACATACGAGTTTTATTTTGCATTTTTAAAATCTTTCGTGAGAGCTTAACTACTACACGATTTCTGACTTTTCCAACCCGATCAAACCAATACGTCCCGATATTGAGGGGTACGGTTTTCATAAGAGAACATGCCCATTGCAAGAACGCAATACAATCAAAGCACCTCAAATGGGCGCTGCGAAATCTTAACAGAATACGAAGATGGTTAGGGCCACCCAGAACGTAAATACGCTCATTCTACAATAGTGCCATAAATGGGCCCATCGAGGCTACGCCGTGGTCAAAGACCTTCGCTCCGCAGATAGTGCAGCCATGTTAAATAAATTACAGTGTAATTATCAAAATTGAAAGCCAAAAGACGTTGGAGAAAAGTCTTTTGAATGATTATTAGTTAAAGTACTATTAAAAGAAGGTGAAATTCGGCCTGAGGAAGTGCTACCTGATGCGATTCTACAGGTGTTAGTCAGATAAATCGATAAAATTTCCGTCTTTATCTACTGTTTTCAAAATTCCGGATTTCAGGAGACGATTCCATTCCAAATCTGGGTCGTAGGTTCTAAACTCGTGTTTTTTTAAAAGCAATATCTCACTCGTAGAATCTACGTGCAGTAACGATCTTCCTTTGGTACATATAATATGATACTACGGCTGTAATGCCGCTTGCCAACGAGAGGGCAAAAATAAGGCCTTTGATGCTGTTATTCCTGTAATGATAACGCAACTTTGGCATATTTGCAGGACTGTCATACATCCTCAAACAAAACACTTTGGCTAAATAAGTCAGGAATCCATTGAAAAAGGACCCCGGGCATTTGAGCCAATCAAGTGAATAATAAGTTAACCACCAATTGATTCAGAACATTTTGAGAAGAATAATGTGTTTCCAGGTCCTTGCATATGAAAGCACAGCAAAGGACACTTTTATGAATCAAACTTAGAAAAAGTAGAAATTTTAACTGTGCAAAATTTTCTTTGAATTTAAATCACAAGGAACAAAAAATGAAGTTTTAGCATTCCAAACGTTAACGTCATTTAAAGGTTATTATGTATTGTGTCAATGTAAGCCATATTTGACCAAAGCTAAAATGTGAATCCAGTAGTAAACTTTTGCAAATATCAAATAAACTTAGATGATTTAAAATGACTTGAATTAAAGTGATCTAAATATAGCGTGCTTAACTAATAACTTGGAAAGGATATCTAGTTTTAATACGATTCTATCGTAAGAATGTATTAGCATTATTTCAAGTGGCCTTGCTTGTATTTTTATGATTTTAGTTCCTTTTAAAAACAGATTACTTACAACACGAAGAACGGATTGGATGTGCAACCGATTACATTCAACAATAATGTACCTCAAATTAGCATAATGTAATCATAATATTTATATTAGGCAGGAAGTATGCGTATCGCTTCATATAAAAAAATAATGATAGAGGTTTGAATACAAACATGTGATTTAGTCTCATCAATATGGTGTAGAGGTCTCACGTTTGGTTTCAAATTGCACTGAGGCCTTTAGTTTGTGAAAACTTAGTTAATGCACATGGTACACTTGAGGTGCAACTGTAAATCCATTGACACATGCCAAGATTTTAGTATTTGTAGTTTTATGAATTGCCCTGTAAGCAAACGCGTCAAGTAGGCAACTGAAAAATTGCGGCGAGGTGTACTACCAAAGACGCAAACACTTGAATGATAAAATGCACAATAATGGAGAAAGAGAAGTATACTTCAAAGTGTACGTAATCAGACAAGCCAACAGGAGCTCAATCAGCGAAAATAATATGAAAACGGAATGTCTAAAAAAGGCGTTTACGGTGTTATATTTTTGTTTATCCACACTTTAATTAAAGTCTTAACAAAGCTAAAAATATCATCATGGCCAAAATTGTTTGATTTTAATGTCTATTGCTGATTACCTTTTAAAGTTTAATGTAGCGCTGCCGTAATTTCTAGGTTTTTCAACATTTTTGATGGACTTGATTTCACGCACTTCATTTACAGATATAATGATATCTTATGCAACACCGCATTTAGTGGATGGCAGTAGGCACGATGTTACCATAAAAGCATCATCAGTCAACTTTAATTCATTGACTAATGGAAAGCAATTCAAGCTTATAAAAGGGTGGCAACAAAAGATGATAAATAGGGTCACATTTTGTCGTCAGGTTAGCATATAAGCAGACAGATTAGAAAAGTTTTTATACGTGAATCACACTAAGCCTAATACCTACTAGCTGAAAAAAAAATGCCCAGGAGGCCGCGTTGTGTTGACTTTTTATGCATTTAAAGCCCCCTTCGAACCTAGATTTGCGTAATAAATTGATGTTCACTAGGTAGATGCGACCAGTTCTTGTAAATAAATATTTAATAATTTAGTAAAGTACGAACCGAGGTCACAAAACTGCATAATTTTTTTGTATTTAAGATGTCAGTGCTATATATAATTAAAATTTACAGCAGAAATTGAATGAAGGTAAGACTTCTACGATAAATTCTAAAAGGATACAAAAGAATAAACCAGCAGCCAAATTGTTTTGTTAAATTATCCAATAGTTTTACTCTCCAGTATGCCAACTATGCATGAGCTGAATGCAAACTTGCCGGGTTTTGTCAAAAAAAACTTGCAAAATTATTATTGATACAAAATACTAATTACACTCATAAAATACATCAAATACGGATTTCGATGGATGCGCTACAGCAAATGACTAATCGTACATGAAGCATTTTCGATAAAAGCAATTATAGCTTAATTGCGGCATTGTCATCTCTTTTTTGCCTACATTTCCAAAAAATTCGTTTTTATTGCATAAGTTCTAATAAATTATCATGCAAAAATAAACAAAATTTATATATAACAAATTTCTAGGTATTTTTTGGCATTTATTTTAGTAAATTCATGACAATATTTCACGACGTTATAAGAAAAAAGGTATATAGTTCAAATTTTGTGAGAAATTTTGGATTTATTAAAAATTGCTACTGAAGCAGGACATTTTCAATGGTAATTATGAATGTTTAAACTTATTAAGGCCCTTTTCAAAATAATTCTTTTCTAACAAAATTTAAGAAATTTTTTGTTTAAGAAACGAATTTAAGTGTTTACTTTTTTAGCAGACTTATTTTTTATGTGGATTGATTTGAGCTGACGACTGACTGATTGGTCGAATAGGAACCATTAACAGGCCTAGCTATTTTCGAGAAGCCGGAATTTAGTAACCGTTCTCTGTTTCGTGTTTCACTATGAACTCAGTCCCTGCGGTCCCCAAAGATGACATAAGTATGCTCAGACTTGTTACTTTACGCCCTTTTAGAATTCATATGTAGTGGAATGGAGAAACTTCCACCCAAAGGTATGTTTTGTTAGCTTTTTTCGCGCTCAACAGTAAGCCTCGTACTCTATGCAGAAAGGCCGTAAGATTTCATTACATTTATTAGTAATTTGACAGCATCTTTGTACAACATCGTTAACATTAGTCCCATTTCCGATTTCCTTTTGTCTGTTTTCGGGGAGTTATGTGTGGTCTTATCCAGCCCGAACTTCATGGACCGAAATAGGTAGTTTTTTTTGTAGTACAGGTCAATATATTAGTTTAGATTTTAAATAAAGGGGTTTCAGAATTCAGTTTTGATGTACAGATAGAGGAGGAAATTTAACTAGACGAATAATTTATGGCAAAAATTTGTCTCATTTGTTGACTTTGCCGTTTGTCATTTTGCAGTCGTTTCGCTGATCTATTGGAAAAATCCAATTGAGTCAGCTATTGTCATGTCGACAGGCTTCACTCTTCTATTCAGCATTGGATACCTTTCTTTGATCTCCGTTTTTGCATATGTTTGTCTCACCATTCTTTGCTGTACGGGAGCGGCGCGTGTTTATTACGATTTAATTACATCGAAGAAAGATGATTCTGCTAAACCCCCATTTAGGTAAGCTGAATTGTTCTACTTGTTGATTTATCTGTCTTAATATCCCCTCACTTTGGATAGATCCGTTCTAAATGATTATACTGGTAAATGTGATTCCAAAACAGCTGCTATGGTGACATTAAAAAGATCCACGTCATTATTTTTATATGAATGCTTGCATGCTGGCCTCTTGTTTTGCGGGACCTCATTGCGCCTTTCTTCTGTCCAATGTCATTATATTTCACTAGTTCGGCCTCTTAGTGTAAATTGTTTTTAAGGCGTGTGCTAGATGTGCCTTAATTTAAATCTAATGGACTCGAATAATTTTATTGCGTGTTTCACTTTAACCTGGCTATCTAGGTTGTGGTGTTCGCTTGATTGTACCGTTATCAACGGCTTAGTTAAATGTTTTCTTCTGATTCCCCTACGATGCTGTATCTCTTCATCTTTGAATTATCAACCATGCAGTTACGATAACAGTATGAAAGGTGGTCGAGGCCTAATACATAATGGCATTGGCTATCACTTTAAAATTTTCAGTATTTTTAAATTTTCCCAAAAAAAAACTGTTCTGTCGTTTTATAAGCTCAATGTGCCAAAACATATCTTGTCACTTAGCACATAATCTAGCTATGTCTGCCCACTTTTCGAATTCTAATACGACTCTACTTGTTCCTCGGATGGTTCCAGTCATGTAGAGTCCTCATGGTGTTATTTCTTATAATTACAATATGAAGCGTTGAGCTGGGTGCAATTTGTCGAGTGTATTGTGACGCTGCTACTTTTCGGCCGTTTCAGTGATTGGTTCACAAAGGATCCCAACGTTCTTCGTTCACGCGCTCACGAATTAGTAAACGAAGGTATTGATAAATGCGAGAACACTATTCAACGCATGAGGCATTATTTGCTGATAGAGAATTATATTGATTCTCTGAAAGTAAGGCAATCTTTCATTTCATTTTATTTCTAAGTCAAATGCGTCATTCTAAATCTGTTTTTTTTTCTTCTAGTTTGCTCTCTGTATGTATCTTTTATCAATACTTGGAGGCTTCTTCAATCTAATCACTGTTGTTCTTATTGGTAAGTTTTTAACAGCTTATTTACGTCATGCCCACTGCTATGAACTGCTAAGCAGTACTTCCCCAATATATGTTATTGGTAAAACAAGTCATTCTGGATATTCCTTGGGAAAATGCCGAGAAATTGTTAACAGACTATAAATTTCCCCATGCATCCTAACAGGACTTTAATGTCACTTTTACCTAACATTATTCGAGGGTTTAAACTTTGATTTCGTAACTTACTGCCTTTGGTTTGTTTTTATTTCAAGCATTTGCTCTACTTTTTTCCGTGCCGAAGCTCTACGACTTATACCACGTAAGTCGTTTTCCCTGTTTCATCTACCAGAATTTGTAGTTTTCCCAAAATAACCCGTTATTGTGACGTAATTTTGCATAACCCCATAATAATTTCGACAGTGTTTTTATGTGAACATGTAATGGCCTACTACTGGTTTATCTTAGCTAATTTTGGTCGTTTTAATGTTATTATTGTTCTATTCTGGTTTCTTTAACTTTTCATTTACTAGGGTAACTAAAGGCTAATTAATTTGCAAATGCCATTTCTATTCTGGCCATCGCCTTGAACAAGTGCTTATGACAATTTTTTACCTGGTGGTTTTGTTCTTTACTTGCAGGTACAAATTGATAAGGCAATGGAGAAGCCCAAAAAGGCGTTTAACAATGTGTGGAGCAAGTAAGTCGACCTCGAAACATGAATTCGTTTTATTGCGGTCGCGTGGTGTGAAGCTTGGCAATACGTGCTTGAGTGAAGCAGGCATGGGATTTTAATGTGCTTGTAATATCACGAAATATTTCACGTGCCTGGACTAGCGACTGTGGCCGCCTTAACTCCCAACAAGGTAAAATGATTAATTTGCGCAGTGTAAAGGAATTATGTAGTACATACCATTGGCAACGTTTTACCGCATTGATGTCAATTGTTCTTTACGTATTGAAATCTGTGTGTGGGTTATGAGAGTTTAGCTTACGAAATCTGTAATAAAACAGGGCTTCCGAATTGAATATATTTGTTTTTGTATTTTGGACCGGTAGTTATCGTGTGTTTATTGTTCCAACTACTCCAAATAACTGTTTTGAAAACTATCTCCGATTATAATTGGACTTTAGCACCTCTGTAAAATAAAATTAGAACATTGGGAAAATATCCAGGTAACTCTGTAAACTTTTACTGAGTCAAAGTCGTTGAAGACGATGATTAATAAGTGGGGGTCTTTTTGCCTTAAGATATGACTGTGCAATTTGCGTTATCTTTCAATTTTGTCATTTTAGGCTGCAGAAGTACTCTGAAAAGGTGCCTTTTCTCCACAAGCAAAAACAAAACTAGTAACTCTTCCCTCCCCTGTTTGTGTGTGCGTATGCATGTTTATGGCAGTGAATGAGAGGACCTTCCGGCAACGCGTTTACCTGTCATTCTGCCTGCCCGTTGGGACCCCCGACCCTTATTGGCACTATCCACGCTGCTATTTAAGCATCAAGTTTGTTTGTATGTGTAAAACCGTTGAAGCGAGTTCTCGACCCTAGACTCCTCCATCGATTTCGGCTTTGTGTTCAGTTGTTTCATTAAAAGTATGTTGTTGCAATAGGCTGGTGTATAGAAGGTGTTTAACTGAATAAAGCATTTCACCACAAATAAAATGCGTTCTTCGCAGTTGTTCGTCCACCTGGAACGATCGAGTGCTCTCTAACAAGATACCTACATGTATATTCAGACATATTGATTCGGAATGCATTTAGTGCTTCCTGTTCTGAGGTTAGTATGCATAATACTCTACGAATTCCTGTGTTCCTAGCCATGATGATGGCATCTACTTGTTCTGTTGACTCAGATGTGCCAATACAGGTTTTAGCTGTGCCCAAAACTAGACTTTAAACTTTAAATCTGAAGTTCAAGTGTGCTTCGGTAGGTATTGAGACGGTAAATCCAAATCTACGTATCTACCATTACTATGTGCATGTGAACAGCCACCGTTAAAAAGTGTGCGTGCATGAGCCAGTAGTTTTGATAGGCAGGGCATCTAAACGACGACGTCGTAGAGATGTTAAATGGCCAAAACCAAATTGATAATCGATGGGAGGTTAGTGGGTTGGGACTTTGGCATGCAACTGAGCTTAGATGTGGACGCGAGATTCACACGAGTTACTTCATTGATTACTCGAAAGGCCAGGGCCCCACTGGACAAGGAGGTGACAGTGGACGAGTGGTGGATCGCACGCATCGACGTAGTTGTAAAAGTCAATTTGTGGACACGATAAGGTGTCGAGAACATAGCCCAAGGTTCGCTGTCATTGAACGAGAACGAAGGAGAAAGCACTTACTTTGAAGTACTGTTACCCAACACAACTGTCACTGTGACTTTGTATGTTGGACATGCAGTGACAAATCAGATCGTATTACTCCATAATGGCTCAAGGCCGCATGTAGCAACTGTTACCAAGGGCAGATGTGGTTTGAATTTCATTGGTTGAGTTTCACCCGTTCACCGCCTCACGCAGACCACCACCAACCGCACGCTTGTTGGTGCTTCGATCACAGCAGAGTGCTTCACCTTCCCAACTGTGTGTGTGTTAGAATAACCAAGGCCGTTGGTGTGAAGGGGAACTACGGGTTACTTGACATTAGTGCAACATGTTGATGGTGAACGTGCGTTTCGGGAGTGAGTCTGTTGAGCCTAGTCTCGTTTGACAGCAAGTCATCCCACCACCCACCAAAGAACTGCAAAACGCATAAAGTCTGAAGTGTTAATTGGTTTGGTGAACGCAAGCCGCTTTGTTCAGTGCTGCATCACTGCTGCTAGAGCTGTTTTTTGGTAAATTTGCATCGATCTAGAAATTCTTATGACCACACACATCGTGTGGGGGCCATGATGTCTCGCGATTTGAAATCCAAAACGTGGAGTGCCTTTTTTACCCTGGTGTAGAACTCCATTCTTCCCTCGATCTTCTTTTTAAGTAATTTACCTAGTGATTACTGTTTCTTGAATGCTCGTCTAGTTACCCGGTTTTTGTAGTTCCGCTTTACTCTTTTGCGTTAATACGCGAGTCTGTGAAAGATGACTAAACTGTGGTTTCCGACAACTCGAAATCTGAACTTCTTGTTCCAAGTAGACGGGCTCTTGTTGTTGTTCAAGGGATTTTGTGGTTGGTGTTGTGTTTTCTGTTTGACATGCCTCCTAATGCATGCGCCAACTTCTAGTTTGCGAAGACTTTCGATTGATCCAAACACGTAGGCACCACATCTCTGAAGTGATGTTATCTTGAAATTTTGTAGAAGAACGTCGTCTTGGCTCGCAACTTTCATCTACTTGCTTGTGATGAATTTGAACTCGCAGGAGACACTCCTCATCGTAATATCCGCTCTCCACTATCCATTTTCGCCAACGCCCAACCAGCCTACCTAGATGTCTGGCCTGTGAATTTTTTCCCTGACGAAGATCACCACCACCAGCAGCAGCAGCACCTTTTCGACCGAAGCAGCTTCTTTTTGCTCCAGTTGGCTTGCTTGGTGGGTCGATCGCCAGATTTAAGGCGACGACGTCGGCGACCGATGAGGATACGTGTGTTCATTCCTAGCAGCGTAGGTGGGGAGGCTGTACTGGCTTCCAGGGTGGAAGAAGTCCTCCAGGGTCTGCGGATTCAGGTAGCCTGGCCAATCACTCTTAAACTACTAGTGATTGTCATAATGCTAACTCATCAGAGGACATTCCCACGTTTGGCTTGCCAATCATGCCAAGTTTGTAGACTGAGGTTTGAACCTCGATGTTTCTCTTCTCAACCCTGCTACCTTTTTCCCATGAGCTTCCGCGTTTATTGATTTATTGATGTGATCACATTGTTGCGGTGTTTAGTTAACTTCGTGGCGATATTGCATAACCTATATCGATTGTGCAGTTCCACCCAAATTTTTACTGCAACGTGGAAAGGATAATCCTAATTCTCAGGTTGTAGGAATTTGGATAAATTTAGGACTTTCATGTTTTCTTACGTGATTGGGGCCTTTCTTTTTCAAATTAAGATTTTTTGCTCTGCAGTACTATATTTAGTATCTCTTTCTATTTTAATAGCTTGACTTTGTTGTTTCAGAAAATGTGGTGGCACAATCGCAGAGTAAACGCTAAACATCGTAGAACCCCGAATTCCGCAAAAGCGAAATTTATCTCTAAGTGATTTACGCTTCAATTTGTCTACGTAGCGGCGGCCAGTTAACCTTGCACCACCTAGCAATGACAACCATACTGTTGGATTGTGTGCTTGTATTTTTAATTCCGAAAAATTGACGAGTTCGCAGCCGATTCTAGTACTGATATCCTCTGGGATACTAGTTTAAGCAATGTTTAAATCACAGAAAAAATTAAAAGAGTAAATATTTAAGTGTGAAGTTTTGTGTGTTTCACTTTGCCGGACTCTCTCGTTTTTTTCTTTAAGGCTGATGTCCATGTCGTCGACTTTAGTCCATCAGCAGAGAAGGACAACATCAACGGCCTTAATCAATTAATTCACTCGCATTGCAACTCGGAGACGTCTACATCCGTTATTTTCCTTCGGCTTCCGCAACCACCCCCTGCCAACTCGATAATCACCGACGAAGAAAAACTCAATTTCCTGGGGCGTGTGGCCGCCCTCACACACGACCTTCCCCCAACCCTTCTGGGGCTTGGCATGCAGGAGGTCACCTCGAATTCCCTCTGACTGCTTTGTATTTGGGGTTAGTTTTTTTGTATTGTTGTGCGAACGCAAACTTCAGCCGTGTTTTAAACCGATAGGTGCGTGAGTCTAGACCTCTGTGTTCACCCAATTTGATAACAGTTCTGGTTCCGTGCTCAGCGCGCGAGTTAAGTCGCATCTAATCGCCCTATCTGCCAATCCAATTCCTAATGCTTAACTACGCCCCTCTGTTCTACAAAAGCGTACCTTTTCATGTTTACGAACACGCTTGTTTCCATGCGCACAGAGATCCCTATCACCTAGGCCTTCCTGTGGGCTATGGAACAACTTGTCGGCGTTAGCTCACACAATTCTCTTGCTTTTCCGGCAACTCAATTAACCTTTTTTTAAATTGTAGATGAATCAAGTGAATCCCGCGAATGCTGCTGCGAGGACAGCTTTGGATAATTACATCTAACCGCTTTGCTTAAGTTCCAAAAATCTCTATTTCCCATAATATTTTTTAAGGATCGTGTCGTGCTACTTAGAGTTTCTGATCGAACACTGAAGTGCCGAAATTTTTAAGCCGTTGAAAGAAATCTTTAAACTGATATAAAATGATTTTATCTTTTATTAACAAAGAACATAACCGGAACCGCATGCTTTTCTTGTTTGGGACATTGGGAAAGGTTTTACAGGTATTTCTGTTAACGTCACTAGTTTGTCTTGTCTAGCGTTAAGTGCCTCAGCCTCAACGATTTATTACCACTTGCTACCTCATTGCCAAAACCGTTAACCTCTCAAGTCAACTGTTGACAATCGACAGATGGTGGGCAAATTTGGGAGGGGGTTGTTCCAGTCCCACAAGTGGACGTTCTCAAAACCAATGCAGAAAATAATTTTATTCCGTAAACCAAGTGTAAGAAAATAGCAACTGTCGTGCTTGCAAAGGTTTTCAACACAGCAACGTGGGGTATTCTCTTTAATGACCAGACCATCAACAAATTAACGTTTCAGGTCGTTGAGAAGGGCATTGTATTGAGTGCGCGATGCGTATAAATTTACAACTACTAGGGTTTGGATCTACCTCCTGAGGCCGGCGAACCTGATCACCTTCCACTTCAATTACTTGGCCACAATTTTAACGGGCAACTCAGAGGGCGCCACGTACCTTTCAAGTTGTATTTCTCTTCCTGAAGGGGGGGGGCTGTTTCCCAGTCAGAAATGGGATCCACTTCGACCACATGACTAATCATACAGAGGTGGAAAACCAGGTTCCGCTTATTGCGACGAGGAGATACATTAGAGCTGGGTCTACGGTCTTTACCAGCTCTGGCACCCGATTCCACAATCCTTCAGCACATTCAATTACACCAGTGATGCAGCACTGAACAAAGCGGCTTGCGTTCACCAAACCAATTAACACTTCAGACTTTATGCGTTTTGCAGTTCTT